TGTATCTCTTTGCAACCAGTTATACCCAGTGACAGCCAGCAATCAACCAATTAGGAAATATACATCTTTTCCAAGTGATCGGAGGTTGTTGGGGCTCACTGACCAGCCTCTCGGCTGTGCTGTTTTCACTTGTGAACTAAAAATCTTCAGGGTTTTGGAAAGTAGAGCAAATTGACAAAACAGTAAATTATTTCAGCCAGACAGTTAATGAAGGAGAAGCTAAAGAAATATCTCACAATTTTTAAGCTTTGTTGCTTTATTTATGTCAGCAATAAAAAGAAATGTATCATGAGCTTATATGCTGTATTGATTTGAAATTAAACTCTTGAATGTTTGGTCCGATATCACACAAAGAAAAAAATCTGGAAGCCGCGCAGAGGCTTGGAGCTACTCGGGATGAGTTGTGGAGCAGCTGAAAATGTTTGGATGTTTTTCAGCAGTTAATTCAAAGTGTTAAAAGTTTTCAAGTGCTTGTCCAGGTCAGCTGGGTCATTTTTTTATGTTTATGGAGTGACAACTTTCACAGCCATACATACATAAATACCAGGCCACTGAACTGTTTTCTGGGAAAAGAAACCATGTGATTAGTCTTAAATTTGCTTAAAAAAATTGAGGCTTTACTTTCACTTTCTGTCTGTGGTTGGTTTATCCTCAGTCATCTGGAGCAGGACAAACATGCCTGGGATAAACGAGATGTTTAGGTTTGCAGTCGGACCATTAGTGAATAGACCTAACCCAAACATTCCCATCTAAGGAGGATTTCCTTCTTTCTCTTTTGTCTGTAATTTTAAATGGACGGAGTGTGGGAGCTGAAGACTTGCACCTTGTTTCACCTTTAACGGCATCAAGAGTCCCGTCCTTTCAGCCCGTATTTTCACTCTGCCTTTTTGGCAAAGGCGTTTGAGGTTCTGCCGATTCATTTGGCTCCAACCATAATTGGGTTATCAGACTGGTTTGCTGATTAAACTTGCACCCAAAGACCTATCATTTGCCCACCCCTTGCCTCATCTTCAGCCCATCATCAAACCCAAGTGAGCATGCGGTGTGACAGCTAAAATCTTCCCCATAGCACAACCGGCTCACAGAACAATGTGTGCGGATAAACCCTCCAAGGGCCCGAGGGCGTGTGTTCGCGTTTGCATGCGTGTGTGTTCATAAACAGCACACATACACACACACTGGTTATCACACGAATGTTGGCTAGAATCTGTCTGTCCAAGCACTCTCCTCTATCAGGAAGTGAGGTATGCTCGATGGGAGCAGCAAGTCCAGAGAGCTTAGTGGGCCAGAATAGGGTCCATTGTGCCCATTATGCTGGTAGGGATTTGGGCCTACAAACTGACTAGTCTGCTGGAAGGTGATGAGGATGGAAGGTCTGGAAGAGCCGGGTGGAGACCCGACGGGATGGCATGAAAACAAACAGGGATGCCAACTGGCGAATGAGACGGTGTCGGGACTCAGGGAGATGCTGGCAGGGGGAAAGATCAACGATAAAATTTGTCTCCTTGTCTACAAAAAGCAGAGCTAGACATATACTTAATTAAAGGCCATTTAACTACTTAATTCAATCTTACCTATATAGCTCCAAATCACAACAACAGTCCTCGATTTATTTTGTGAGGTAAAACAGAGAAGACCCCAACAATCAGACAGCAAAGTCAGGCAAGAAGAGAGCCAGAGATTAAAGATAACTAATAATTAAATGCAGAGTGCTGTTTAAACACTTAGAGAGTGAAATAAGGCGAGGAAAGAAGAAACACTCAGTGCATGGATGGCTTGTTAATTTACTTGCAGTGCTCTAGCTGATTCATCTCCAGCTTTGAGCTCTGTTTCCAGATGCATCAAGAAGCTGTTTTTGAAGATAAATAAAACTGTGATCTTGTGAGGTCTGTTCTCCTTCATTGAACCCACTGTACAGTCTAGCACCAAAGTCCTTGTAGAAGCAAGACCGGACAGTTGTTTGAACAGTCATTGATTGGGAGAGTAGATTTCTTCCATATTGGTTTTCCCCCCTCATTGGTTCTTTTTTGAATCCAGAATTGAATTTCCCGCTCCTCACATACAAAGTCACATACTTGATCACAAGAGCACTTTGGTCTCAGACTGGAGGCTTATTTGTGGCTCCTAGGATATTTAAAAGTAGAATGGGAGACAGAGCCTTCAACTTTCAGGCCCCTCTTTTATGGAACCAGCTCCCAGTTTGGATTTAGGAGACGGACACCCACTCTACTTTTAAATTAGAGTGTCTATTTTCCTGTCTTCGTCCCCTCACCCCTAACCAGTGACGGCAGATGGATGCCCCTCCCTGAGCCTGGGTCTGCCAGAGGTTTCTTCCTGCTGAAAGGAAGTTTTTCCTTCCAACCGTCACCAACTGCTGGCTCATAGGCGGTTTTCTAATTGTTGTGGTTTTCCCTCTATTATTGTAGGATTTTTACTTTGCAATATAAATAAAGTTGAGTTGAAAAGACTCGTTCTAATCCCCCTGGTGAATTTTAGAGCAGCTTTAAATTTATGGCAAATTAAACTGCCTGGATGTTATTTAAAACTACATGTAACTGTTTTTATGGCGGTTTCACCCACCTTCTTGTTTCATCTCTTCTCTTCCCCCTCCTCTCTCAGTTTTTTAAAACCATACCATGTTAGGGAATACACAGATGCCTTAAACCCTCAGAACCTCCCTCAAAGAGTCAGGGACAATAAACAGCTCAGACTTTCAGAGATTTCGGTTTTGAAGCCATTTTTAGCATTTGTTGGTTATTTTACAAGCTTGTAAACATCTTTTTTTGGTTGAGGCAGAAAAAACACTGTTCACTAACTGACACCAGATCGTCTTTTCACCTTAACCAACTCTTCACCTCTCACCTTTTATGTAAGGCCAGACAGACGCTTTGAAAGTGACCCATGACCTGAAAATAGAAACTAAAAAGACAGTGGAGCCTTTGGACAAGGTGACCCCATGACCTGCTGAGTTTTAAATAAACAAAGAGATACTTAACCCAGTGGTTGGAGGTCTGCTAAGACATTTATAGGTGTATGTTGCTTAAACTGTGATGACAGCTGGGAGGAAGACAGGTCAGAGATTAAGCAGTAGGAAGTTGGTGGAAGGTGAAGAGGAAAGGAGAACCAAAAAGAAAGAGGGAGAAGAAATGATGTATAGCAGTTGTTTCAATAAGGAGTGATGGAGGAATGAGGGATGAAAGGAAAGGCGTGAAAGAAAGCAGCTTCCTATGGGATCCCTGCATATTTTCCCTGGGTGAAACCAGGTGTGAGTGTGAACTATGGGCCAGACAACTCAGGCAGGCTGGCACAGCCCTGTCATTAAGCACTACCTGCCTGCCCTGAGGCTGGAAAAAGAGCTGAGAGCTCAGGTAAGACAGTGTGACAAAGACCAGTCTGGCATCACTGTCACTTTACAAAGACAAACACATTTACAGTGTTTAAGTGAAAACCCTGTAAATTTGTTTTTACCTGTAAACTTACAGCAAAATTCTGCTAGCAGGTGTTTCACTGCCACACATTAAAAACGCACTGATATTAATGTGAGTTATTTAATTACTGTCATTAAAGTTGAAAAAGTTGCCATTAAACACGAGAAGGCAAGTACACCCACCTTGAATTCCAAGGTTTCACACATAATAAAATAACATCTGGTCCAAATTGAGTAAATACAACCTGAAGTGAAGAACAGCCCACAATGTGTTACACTGTGTTCTTGTTTATGTAGCAAAAATTAGGCCAAACTGCAGAAGCAGTGTGAAAAACGTTGTATACCCTATGATTCAGTAGCTTAGCTCGTTTAGCAGCAATAATTTGGATCACTTGTTTCCTTCATGATGTTATGAGTGGCTCACATTGTTGTTGTGGAATTTTGGCCCACTCCTCTTTACAACGTTGCTTCAGTCCATTGAGGTTTGCAAGCGTTTGTTTATGCACAGCTCTCTTAAGGTCCCACACCAGCATTTCAGCAAAGTTCATATCTGGACTTTGACTGGACCATTGCAATATGTTGACTCTTTTCTTTTTAAGTCATTCTGCTGAAGGCTGGTTGTTTGTTCACATGCATTTTTGCCTTATAGCCATTCCCACATTAATGGGCAGCAACAATTATTCGTCTAAGATTATTACTGATGTCTATCCTCCACACATATGCAAACTCCACACAGAAAGACCCCGGCCTGATGTTGGAATTGAACTCAGGACCTTCTTGCTGTGCGGCAACAGTGCTAACCACCGTGCCGCAGTTTATATTCTCAAGGAAATTTAAATCTATTATTTATTCATAATGAGTTTACGAGCCCATTTCTTTGCATGTCGCTTCATTCTTTTACATGCATTCTTTGCACGTAGAAACTGCACTCTTATTTCAGTTTATGATATAAGACAAGCTTACTATGGATTTTGTTTTCGTACTGGATTTATGTTTTTCTTGGGGTTTTTTCTTGCGGCATTTACATAATAACAAGGGCTTAAAATGGCCTCTGTTAGCTTTTTTAGCTGTGAAGTTAAACCTTCACAAACATCTGTCCCACTCTCTGCCCACTCCTCCCTCTGTTCATCTCCCCTCTCCTTATCCAGTCAAACTGCTTAAAATGTGAGCTAATGGGAGGCTGTCAGTACTTCTGGGTGCTGTGTGAGTGTGTGTGCGTTTGCCTGAAGTAGAGCCACCTGTTAGTGTTTGTTGTGTTTATGCTGCCCTCCTGTGGTCACGACTGAGCGGTGTACCTGTGAGCTGTGTGAGTCATTTAGACAACATGAATTTTTGGCTCTTTCAAGACTAAAATGTATTTTTCATTAATTTTACTGTAATTTCTTTGTATTCTCTAACTGAATGTGAACCTACAGTAGCTGTGCCTCTACTAGGACCACATATCACTACTTGTGTTATTACATGGACTACACGTGAGCCACACTCACATGTTAACTCTCCCCGTGGGTGTGCAGTCTAGGTTTTTCTGCTTGCAGTTTGGTGAACAGTGATCATGTCTTCTCTTTGCTCTCAGGGTCGTCCAGGAACTCTCGGTGAAGTTGGACCGTCTGGACAGGATGGGCCACGTGGGGTCCTTGGGCCTTCTGGGCCAAAAGGAGAGAAGGGCCACCTTGGGCTGAAAGGACCGTCGGGTCCAAAGGGAGACAAAGTAGGTGCTTCAGATCTTTACGTTGGTTGTAATTTGTTTTTCCCATTAAATGTGATTCGTTCACTCAGTGGCCACCTTGTTAACCCATTAAAACCAATGGGAGTGCTGGTTTTAGGTCAAACTTTTAGATCAAAGGAAACATTAGCACAAAAAATATCAGCAGTTCCTGAAAGCATCATTTCTGTTCTTTTCCTGTAATGTCATTATGGTAATCCCTGGTAGGGCTGCACATCCAAATCTCAACGAATATCACAGAAAGCAGAAAAAACAAAATAATAAAAAAAACAAAGTAAAATAAACCCACATTCAAATGTTTGTTTTCTGTAGAGCTGCTTCTCACTCACTCACTTTCTCTTCTCTCAACCAACCTTCTTCTCGGGATTACCGTAATGACCCTAATATCCCTGACACGTGCAGAGTCGCTGCTTTCAAGAACCGTTGGAATTCTTTTAATTTAGCAAAACATTCAGCAGTTACTGGAGTTACAGGTGTTTTTAAAAACATTAGCAAGACACCTGTCTGATGCCAGCATCGGGTCTGGCTATAGAGGGTAAAATACATCTACTACAAAATATCTAAGTTAATGCAAAGATTTAATGAGCTAATCACAACTCCACGTGGCATGTAGACATGTTCAAACTGGGCTTCAGAATATGTAAGAAATGTGATCTCAGTGACCACAAAAGCATCTCTGGAGTTTACAGAATAATCTGAGAACAAAATCTCTGAGCAGTGTTTTCGACACCTTATTGAATCTGTGCCATGAAGAATTAAAGCTGTTCTGAAGGCAAAATATGGTCCAGTCCAGTATCAGCAAGGCGTACCTAATGAAAAGATCCATGATGTATGCACATACTGTGTATAACTAATTAGCAAATACATTTTTTTAATAATATCGCAGTTTGCTAAATATAATGCTTCATGCAAACATTGTACATTCAGATTTTCTACACCAAGCACGCAGTTGCATGTTTTTCCCACAAGGTGTCTCCATTTAAAGTTATTGTATATTTAAAGTATTTATTATCTTTGCAGGGACCAATGGGAGTGCCTGGATTCCAAGGAAGTGATGGTGTGCCTGTAAGTAAACAGATGCAAACGGTATCCATTAATTTCCTTAATGAGGTTTCTTGTCATTAAAGATAACATCAAGTTTTTTTCAGATTTTTTTCTCTTCCTCGTCCTTCACATTAAAAATTCCAGATCATATTGTGTAAAAAGTGCAGGAATATAGAAAAAAATGATCATGGAAATGTAAATATTCTAATGAGAGGTCAAATTATAATTTGTCATCATGTCCTTATTATCCTTCGCTGTGCAGGGTCACCCTGGTCAGCCGGGCAGCAGAGGACCACCGGGACTGGATGGCTGTAACGGGACCAGAGGAGATCCTGGAGATCCCGGCTTTGGGAGGGGATACCCTGGCACCAGTGGATTTCCTGTACGGAAAGACATCCTGTTTCATTCACCTCACATATTTTAATCTCACGTATAGCAATACTTCGAATATTATATTTACATACAGAGACAGAGATACTGATGTTGTGTTTGCCTCCAACAGGGGCTGAGTGGGCCCAAGGGTCAGAAAGGAGAGCCTGTATTCATCTCGGAGAATGCTGTAAGCTCCCACTCATGCACACTGATGCTGCTCACAGGCTGATCTCTTTACCAAGGCAGTTCAGCTGTTTGCAGTATCAAAATATTGCAAAAACTTTACTTTTCCACTTCCATTACTCTAATTTTTTATTAAGTTGGACAAATCTTTTAGTTCCTGCATCTTTTCCTCCTTAATCCCCCATCCCATCATCCTTACACATACAATCACAATCTCCATATAGGGAAGCTATGGATTAGAAAGAAAAGGAAGTCCTCTCTAGCAGTAAAACCACTTAATATTTGAGTTTTGATTGGTTATCTAAATAAACTTTATTTCAGTAGTCAGTAGGACAACTGAAGGTGTGGAAAAGTGAAGCAAAGGTTACTAATATTTTCACAAAGATAATTCTCCCGCAATTGATACTTCAGATTTCCTCCAGCGGTCATTGATGAGTGGTTGTTGATCAAAGCGATCCAAATGTCGAGTCACAGGCAGGCAGATGTAAACGAAACGTGTCAGAGTTCATGAAATAAAGAGGTAAATTAAGCCTGTGCTACTTTATAAAGAGGCTAGGAACACAGAGTGATGACGACAGAGCCTGAGGAAATGACAACACTATTTGTACATAAAAGGGTAATCAGGGTAATGGAAGGTAACGAGACACAGATGTGTGGTTAGTAAATGTTGTTGTATGTGTTTTCTTTGCATTTTCTAAGCATCTCAATTTGTCAATAAACTCTAACACAAACTGAAACTAACAACCACAAGTTCAGCAACATCTTTATTGAGGAAAAAGTCCAACAACCTAAAAACAAACAAACATAAACCTGCACTGAAAGAGTTTTTAATTTAGGTGATATTTGTTGATCTCTTTGACACATTGAACTGCAAATTACCCAGCATATGAAGGAAACGGGTTACTGTGGCACAACTTTATTGACATTTGCAGCATGAACACATGACATGAGTGAACAGACAGAACGTTTGCGTGCAGCAGGACGACGTTACTCGATGGCATCAGCTGGATCGACTGCCAGCCTGATACAGTTTATTGAAAGCTGCTAACAGATTTAAGTTCTGATTTACCGAAGCTGCTGGAGTGGCATTGAGCCCACTTTGACTCCTGCTGATAACCATGAATAAAAATCCCAATGTTTGCCACAAATGAAGACGACCGTGTTCTGCCATGTGTGCAGAGGTGTTGGTGCATCTTATTTATTGTTTGCTCTTCTCTTTATTGCCCTCATCTAGGCCATACAGGGTCCCTCGGGTGACCCAGGAACCCCTGGCCCACCTGTAAGAGTTTCTTTCACTATTTCACCCAACAGCATAAATATTTAATTCAAAGTAGTACGACTGAGCTCTGTGAAATATGCACTGGATGTTAGCAATGTGTGGTCTAAAATAATGTTACACCACAGTGAAAACAGCACTGCTGTGTAACGTGGGTTTGTTTTCATTTGTTTTATGTCTGCAGGGTTTACAAGGTCTTTATGGTCCAGTCGGTTTTCCTGGTCCCGAAGGACCTGAAGGATACCCAGTATGTAAACTCATTTATCTGTTTCCTCTTCCTCAGACCGATCCCTGCATCTACACCTTCACATTTCTTTTCTTTTGTTTAATTAATTTCTAATTTGCAGTATGCTGAATGCAGTGATTATGAAGGAAAAACTGTTCTACTGCCTTGTGTGACGATTGCTTTAATATTGCTTTATTAAATATCGTACATTCATAAAAGTTCTATGCAAGAAGGCATTTAGGTTCTATGTAACAGCGTGTTTAAAACTTAGAGATATTAGTAGCACATTTTTTTAGCTTAAAAGTGGTATAACCTGCAAACCCTGTGATAAGTTAGTTCCAGTCACATTACAGCCAGAATGTAGGTTTATTTATCTTTAACTTATTGAGCTTAGTCTGACTCTTTGTCCTGTTTATAGGGCCCACCAGGTCCTCCCGGTCCCCCAGGGCCAATGGTAAGTATAATGGTACACTGAAGGGACATATCATTTCTTTGAATTTAGACAAATGGCTGCCTTTTGGTAGCCTCTCTTATTCTCTCATTGTTGTCCAGAAGTACATATGAACCTTTTTTGTTTTTAGGGGAGCCGTAGTGACGCATCTCAAGGAGAGAAAGGAGACAAGGTACGCTGTAAACCACAGAGCTCACAACAGATTCATCAATTTAAGTCACACGTACACAAGCAGCACTGCTGATGCTGCTCGTGGCAGTGATTCATTCATCGCACACGCGTGAAAAAGACCGCAAACAGGAACCATGGTTGTGCTCCCTTTATGCTACAAATATGGAAGCAAAGTGTTCTGCGTCTAAAGTTTGCCACAGTCAGTGTAACTATCTATGTGTTCATTTTTTATGGTTTTATCTGCAAAAGCATGTTTTATAAGTTAGATTCCTACTCAGAGTAAAACAGAAGCGTGAGCAGATTGGACAGAGTTAGAAATGAGTGCATCAGAGGAACAGCTCAGGCTGAGCAGCTTGAAGACGGTTAAAGAGAGGCAAGGCTGAGATGGTTTGGATATGTGCAGAGGAGGGAAGAACAGTGAAGATGGAGCTGCCGGTCAGGAGGACAAGAGGAAGACTTCAGGGAAGATGTGTGGCTCTAGTGAAGGTGGGCATGCAGATGTTTGGTGTGACAGAGGAGGATGGAGGGATAAAGGGAACATTTGAAAAGAAAAAAAGATTAACAGCACAGTATAAAGAAGGGTGGGCTTTAAGGTATGAAAGCCTTGTGATTGACAAGTCAGCAAAACGTCCACTGCTCGCTAAACACGTTTGACTGCAGGAAAATAAGCCTGTGACTCATCTTTTCTGTACAGTCTGTGTTTAAGATTAGGATGTAGTCTCATGTCACAGAAAGGAGAAACAGGAAATCAGCAGTGAGGGCATGCAGGAAATAGCTTTGTCTCCTTTTAGAATTTATACCAAGTTACATTTATTTGTTGATGGAAGCATCACTATAAGATGTATATAAATGTCTGCCCCCAGTTTCTTTCCAAAGAAAGAAAAAATCTTTCTATTTGTTGGAGCAAAAACTTGTTTTTAACCTCACGGGGACCCAAATGCTAATAATAAACTGCTATTAAAGCAGAGCTCAGATTTAAGTCATTATGTTGGTGAAAAACATTCTTTAACCACCGTTTCACGTTGTTTTGTAGTAAAATGTTATGGATTCTATATTGTAAAGCAGCCATTCCCAAAGGGAAAAGTGCTGTGGCCCCCTTAAAGCCAGAAAATTCTGCTTTAATTCACTTTGTTCATAAGTGATAATTTCATATTCATGATAGAATTAGTACACAGTGTTACTGTGGCATGCCTGCAGTACCTGCAAAGTCCACCAGGGGGCCCCAACTGACACTTTGGCAATCACTGCTCTACAACCACTAATGACAACAGCAGGCTTTAAGTGCTCCAGCTGTGTGTGTGTGTGTGTGTGTGTGTGTGTGTGTGTGTGTGTGTGTGTGTGTGTGTGTGTGTGTGTGTGTGTGTGTGTGTGTGTGTGTGTCGGCTCGAATGACACTAAAGTTCATTGATTTAATGCCGTGCATGTTAACATTTTGGTGGTGGCACAGCCTGCTCTTCTTCCGTCCATTGCATCCCTCCCTCCTTCTCCTTTTAACCCCACCCGTTCCTGCATCCCTCCACCTTCCTCCTCTCTCCATCCTCTTCTTGACACATGTGTTGGACTGATTTTTGCATCTGTTTCCTGAATGATAAAAACAATCACATGAGCCTCTGCTTGTTTCGGTCTGGTTTGTTCTTCATGTGATCCGTGCTGCCGCTGAGACAAACGCAGACTCCCTGAGACAGATCGCTCAGCTTAATCCTGACCAGCTCAACTCCAGGTTCAATTATTTTGGCAATTTCTTTTCTTTTCTTTAGATCGGGGAGTTTGTCCGATGTCCAGTGGCTTCACGGACTGATTTCTTTATTGTTGAATGACAGCTCAGAGATTTCTCACCATAATTCACCCAAAATTCGTCCCATCCATCCAGTTTTAAAAACACCTCTCCAGTTCAGATTTGCGAGTGGGCTGGAGCTAATCCCAGCTGACTTTATGTGAGTCTATCCCACCCTGGACTTTTACCAGTTGAAATTTCTGAGTTGTCACTCTGGAGGACTGTAACCTGTGGGCTGTAACTGGGTGCTGCAACCACTCGCTCCTGCTTCCTGTATGATTTTATTTACCCATCTTGACCACATCAGGCCTCTGGTGATGATTGCTGAGACTTGTAGGTCATTCTCCCACTCCTTGACTTCTTATTCACCACCCGCTCATCAATCCACACACCTGCCCATACCGATTGAACAAATGGCACAGGTGCTACTAACATTCATCTTCCTCACACACTGCATGCATGCTGTGATCAACCAAAACCCGTAGCGACTGAGCAAGGATAAAAACAGGGATGAAGTGAATGTGGAAACAGCTGGATCTTCTCCAGCCTGGTGAAATGCACTTTTAGGATTGAATTACACCTTTTTTCAGTAAACAAATGTGCAGCATGTGTATTTCTCTTTAATTCTGGCCTTGAATTTTTATACACTGACTATAATATATAAAGTGTCACTAAGCTTTCTTCTTTTTTATCTATCACGGCTATTATTCCTTTACCTTCTCTAATCTGTTTTTGAGCCTTATATTTATATTTTACCCTCTTTTTTTGCCTCCTTTTTCTTTTTCTAAAATGCAGTAAATTTATATGACAGAAAAGAGTCCAACTGTAAGGCAGCAGTTTCTGCGGACTACAATGTTTGCAGATGACACTGTGATCTGCAGTGAGAGTTGGGAGCAGGTGGAGGTCTGCTCTGGGGAGAAAAGGGCAAGTCAGTATAAGCAGGACAGAATACATGTCTGTGAATGAGAGGGAGACAGGTGGAAAGGTGAACATGCAAGAAGCAAAGGTGGTCAAGGTACCTGAGGTCAAGCATTCAATCAAGGAGCAGTGCACAAGAGAGGTAGAAAAGAGAGTGCAGTCAAGTGGGAGTGGGTGGAGCCGAGTGTCAGAGGTGATTTGTGACAGAAGGATAACCGCAAGTGGGAAAGAGAAGATTTAAAATATGTTAGTGAGACCTGAAATGGTGTATGGTTCGAAGACAAAAGAACAGGAGGTCGAGCTGAAGACGTTAAGGTTTTCATTGTGAAAGTCCAGAATGGATAAAATTAGACAATTATTTTGTGTGTCAGCGCAATGAGGCGACAGCTAAATGTCACAGCTGCCACCAAAGGCAGACTGTAGTGTAAACGCTGTCTCCAGGTGGAAAACCAGAGGAGTGATACACCTCATGTTGTACAGCGTACAGAGTGTGCAGGTGTCACCTTCTCGCCTAAAGAAGCTTTAAAAAGATCTACTTTCAATATAAGGACTGATGTCCCTTATCGACTGTGTGCACATTTATATGCATAACAGCAGGTTAGATTAACTTTGATTAACATTAGTTGCATCTGATGCTACTCTGCTTCACACTGTACTGAGAGTCCAGATCTGCTCTGTTCAGTGAATATAATTTAATGTGATTTTTCAAGGTGCTGATGCTATTTTCTCACCTTTGCTTCAGTAAAATAATCCTCCCATTCTCTCCTTTTCCTCTCCCCTTCTCTCCTTCCTTCCTTCATTCCCCTCCTCTGCTCTTTGCGTCTCCTGATTGGCTAATAGTGTGTTTCGTGTGTATTTCGGACTCTAGGGTGACGTGGGTCTTCCCGGACCCAGGGGTAGTCCCGGCGACACGTCGCTAAGCGGCCCAAAAACACTCACTATCTACAAAGGAGATAAGGTAACACAGCAAAGGAAGGGAAGGAGCGAAGGTTTTTGAGCTAACACAACAGACACACAAAAACACACGCAAGGATGTGGTGGGGGTTTCACTGCAGAAAGTAACCAAAAGAAAGAAGTGCAACGATGCAGCAGTAGGCAGGCCAAAGGTCTAATAAAGAAGAGGAGCAGTGATTGCAGCAAACCTTACAAACCTCAGAGAGGAGGACGTGCTGGAGGGAGGAAACAAGGAGCCGAGGGAGGACGTGAGGAGACACGGGGAGAGGTGGAGGAGAGGTCGGTCATCACTGTCCAGACTCACAGAGAGCAGCAGTTGTGCATCTTTAATCAGAATTTGGAGAAAAAATCATTTACATTTTTCAGCCAACCTGATTTTTTTTATTAAGATCATTTAAGAAATACAGTATTTATCCCATATTTGTTTTACAGCTGTAATAAAAGTAATGAAAGCAACACAGATGCTGCAGACTGTGAGTGTGAGAGACAAACTATGGCATTAAAGGTGCTGAATCATTAACTGCTGGAAAACCACTGAGTTTAGGTTCAGTAAAAATTGCTCTGCACCAAAACCAGGAAGCTTTTATTGTGAAAGGTGTTTGGATAAAATAGTTTTTCTTCCTTGGGATGTGTTGTCATTGTGCAATGTGTTTGAGGCTTATAACGTTTATGCATTAAACTGCAGTCTAGTGAAGACGGCAAAGTGGACCCTAGTGAAAAGTTTCTGTTATAAACTTTTATAAACTGTTATAAACTCAGCATGTCTGAGCTTTCAAGTTCAAACTATTGATCCTAAATTTTTTGGTAGCTTTCAAACACATGACACAGACTGACACATCTTGAGTACAGACAATTTTGGAAACATGAGATCTGCCAAAAGAAATCAAATCTGTTTATAATTAGTTAAAAAAAACTTAAAATTGAATCTGACTATTACTGTCTGAACCTCCTTCAAAGTTTCTGTAAGTAGGATTAAAGTTGTAAAGAAACAACAAACACCAGCCTCTCTTCATCCTCATCCATAAAGCTCCTCGCTCCTCTCCTCGGCCTGTGCTCTCTTCAGCCGCTTCCTGCGCGGCCTCATGCCGTCCATCCTCCAGTCCACAGTCTGCCCTCTCTTCCCCTAAACGTTCCAAAAGCTGGGGTTGTTTTTTCCCGCGCTTCGTCGGCGTAAACAGCTCTTTCTTCCTTGGTCACCGCATCCAGGGCGACATGGGCTTGCCTGGTGACCCCGGCCAGCCAATGATCAATGGCGTTGTGGAGTTTGTGGGTTTTCCCAAAGGAGACAAAGGAATGCAGGTTTGTTGGGAAACACGAGTCATAATTAGCGTTTTATTTCACTGTCACAAAAAAATCAGTTTCAAACATAAAAAAGTCATTTTAATGGTGGCAACAGCCTGAAAGTGATCGACACCATCATGTGTTGGTAAACTTGTATGCTTCACTTACTTACATACTTTTCTCCCAGGTTCACTGCTTTATGAATGAGAGAAACGGACATTTTTCTTTGGTGTAACCGACACATCCAAACCAAGACTTCCTGTTATGTCCATGTGTCACTGGGAAAAGTAGATTTTTAATTATTGCCACATGACAGCGATGGTCATCTAGCAGATTTCTTGAAAAGCGAGCTCTCTATTTGCCCAACACATATTGTTTTTGCTTCATGCAACCAAAGCACGCTCCAGCGTGGCTGATCAATATAAACACAAGCAAAAAGCTTCCTGTCCTTTACCAAGACTTTGTGCGAATGCATCTACCTTCTGTTTGTAGAGGCGAGCAGAATAGTTTCTGAGCCTATGGCCACTCAGAAAGTTAAAAACCAACACTATGCTAATGCTGCAGCTTTATATTGAACGCATTCACAACACTAACATCTAGTTTTGTAACGCTATCGCTAATGTCAGGGAACATTTCCCCTGATATAATAAATCAGTTAAAACATGCTTCCCAAAACGTATTAAAGTAGAAAAATGCATGGCAAAAAGGACTCTTCTTTTATTTCCCCTCTACAAAAAAAGGTATCAAAGAGAAAAAAATCTACAAAAATAAAAGAAAAATGGAAACTTTTTCCTGGGAAATGTGATCCTTTTCCAGGGAGGTGACAGACTCCCTGCATCACTGAAAACAGTAGGATAGATAAACAACAAGAACAAAAAATTGGAAGGGTGAAGGTGACCAGCTGACTATATACCTTTTGAGCATATGAATTCCCCTGGGAAATACCACTGAGTGATATTTACTCATCGCGTGGGTGAAATCACCCCATGTTAGTGCTTTAGGGTCTAAGCAGACAGCAGCAGCCACATTAAGCTGTTAAATGACGAGCTGCATGAGACCGTTTTCTTAGCAAGGTGTTGTTTTTATCAGACTGAAGCAGGATTAAATCAGATCACAGCCGCACAGCGATGGAAAAACGCCACATACGTCACGATAATGACAACCCTTTCTTTTGGTAGCTCTTGCTCCGAGACCTCAGTGATCTCCAGACTTTTATAAGACCTTTTGTATGCCTGAGTCAGTAAAGGTTTCACAGCTGGAAGGTCAAATAATAAACCTCAGGCTACGTGAATAAGAGACAAATGGAAGGAAAAGATGTGGAAAAATGACGTCTTTAATTCCACTTCATCAAAACTGTAAATTAGGGAGGCACTAACAGTCACTGTTATTAAATTACATGCAACAGACTTGAGGCACAACAGTGCTGCATGCATTTCAACAAGAGGAGTACGTCTACTTGACTGTCCAGCAAACTATGACTGTCACAGACGATCCTGATTTTAGCACAATTAAATACAAAACCCACTTATCCCCCAAATTGTGACGCTTTAAATGTGCTCTAGATAAGAACTGAATGCAATGATTTGCAAATATTTTATGAATAGCTGAGAAAATGCGTAATGTTAAGAAAAATGGTTAACTGGCCAAAGGTGAGTCACATGACTGGATATAAAAAGAGCCTCTCAGAAGTAATGCAGGGCAGAGGTTCAACAATTTGCAAATTGTCGAATAATTTCAGAATAATGTGCTTCAATATCAAATTATTAATACTTAAAATACGTCGTCATCTACAGCGCATAATATCAAAAGATTTGGAGAATCTGGGGGAATCCAAAGATTCCTATTGGTTGTCTGTGATCTCTGGGTGCTCAGACGGCGCGGCATTAATAACAGGAATGATTCACTCATGGAAATCATTCCATGGGCTCAGGAATATGGCGTTATTTTTGTGCCACTATTCTGAGCGCACGTAAAAAAAAATTGCAGGTGCAAGTGTTGCATTTTGAGGAGAAATTTATTTTGAGCGAAGAAAAGCTGAATTTGAGTGAACAAAATTCATTGCTGCATGCAAAAAATGTATATCCGTGTTTGCTATTATCCATATACACACGCACAATAGCAGCCCCTCTCGCTCAGTTTTTGTATTTGCGCTCGCAATGTGTCGCTCACGCTCTCAACATTTCTGCCCGTGCACGCTCAACTCGTTCTGTACACCGTTATATTTGTGCCACAAAACCAGCCAATCACAGACTTGGATGCAAAAAAATCTGATTGGCTGTTTTTGTCTCCAATCAGCTCGAAAGGACGAAATGCAATATCCCAGAATCCATTTCGTCCAAAGCTCAAACGAGGCAGTGGCGGAGGAACACAGAGTGGCGGAGTTTGAAATATTACTCTTTCTGGGACACAAAATAAACTTTTAAGATATTTTCATGTTAGAATGTAGCTGTGTAAAGTTCAAATATCTGCTCGATTTATCAAGACATCACATATTTGCATAAGTGCTCTAACGTTTTCGGAGATGCCTGTTACCCACCAGCTGACCGAATACCTGGACTGGCCATTGGGCATTTACCCGGCATTTGCCCGGTGGGCCAATGGTGATTTTTCATTTTTATGTTAGTTTGTTTGTTTTTGTAATGGTATAAACAATGAAAGGTGGTGGATTAGCCAGCTGGTAATAATCAACTATGGGCTGGACCAATTACAATACATCCGTATTGAGGGGAAAAGACTTCAGCGAGAATAAAAAAGACACAAAGCTGGAGTTATTCTGTGTCTTAGCTGCCTCTTCTCTCCTCATTCTCCCTCCCTCTCCTGTTGCTACTTCAATCATGAAACTGATCAATGATCAGCTGATCGTCTCTTGTTTGTTTATCTCCCACTTTGCGCCAGAAACGGGAAACCAGCGGATGTTGCGCTAAACAACAACAGCAGCACGTTCAAAATTGATCAGCTGTTGTTAGAATTTATTTAAAATTAATTTCTAGTATCAGCTGATGTTTGCTGGAGCCACAGCTGTAAAGCTGGAAACATGAAGGTGATACAAATCATACATATATACCAACAAAACAGTACATCACTGTCACAACAGCGTTTGTTTTCGTTCAAAGGCTTTATGGTTTTTCCAATAATACCTGGTGGTGTAGTCGGTGATTTTTTTGTCAGTTCAGCCTTATATATTATGTTTAACCCGAGTTCCCACCCGGTCAGCTGGTGGGTAACAGGCATCTCCGAAAACGTTGGAGCACTTATGCAAATATGTGATGTCTTGATAAATCGAGCAGATATTTGAAGTTCACACAGCTACATTCTAACATGAAAATATCTTAAAAGTTTATTTTGTGTCCCAGAAAGAGTAATATTTCAAACTCCGCCACTCTGTGTTCCTCCGCCACTGCCTCGTTTGAGCTTTGGACGAAATGGATTCTGGGATATTGCATTTCGTCCTTTCGAGCTGATTGGAGACAAAAACAGCCAATCAGATTTTTTTGCATCCAAGTCTGTGATTGGCTGGTTTTGTGGCACAAATATAACGGTGTACAGAACGAGTTGAGCGTGCACGGGCAGAAATGTTGAGAGCGTGAGCGACACATTGCGAGCGCAAATACAAAAACTGAGCGAGAGGGGCTGCTATTGTGCGTGTGTATATGGATAATAGCAAACACGGATATACATTTTTTGCATGCAGCAATGAATTTTGTTCACTCAAATTCAGCTTTTCTTCGCTCAAAATAAATTTCTCCTCAAAATACAACACTTGCACTTGCAAACCTTTTTTACGTGCGCTCAGAATAGTGGCACAAAAATAACGCCATACAGGAACACTTCCACAAATTCATCCACAAAATGCCAGTTAAAGCTCTACCGCGCAAAGAAGAAACCACACGTGAACAGGATCCATGATTTATTAAAGGCAATGAATGAAAAACAAATGGGGATGGAGTGCGTAACAAGGATGGATTTTTTGCTGTTGTTTACTTTGCTCTCTCGTTGCCTCTCTCAAAGGGTGACCCCGGTCCAAAGGGAACTAAAGGATACCCTGGAATACCCGGCCTACCTGTAAGTATTCAAACAGTTTGCTTGTTTATTTTTTATTTCATGCCCACCATGCAAGATGCATTTTAGGAGAAATTTTGATTCAGGAGACCTTCCTTTTTGTCGCTGAATCACAGGGACCCTTTGACTATCCTGGAGAATATGGAGAAAAGGGCATTCCTGGATACCCCGGGAGCAGAGTAAGACTCTGCGCTTTTTGGCTTCAGTTAAAGTGCATTTAGTGACATTACTGTTTGAAATTCCTTCCTTATTTCCCTTTGTGAGGGGAACTCCTCTCACCATTTCCTCTTCTTCTGTGGTGGGTGTTGTTTGTGTTTCTGCCAAGCAGGGGGCTCCAGGGTTTAACGGACCGCCCGGTGTTCCAGGACTGCAGGTAGGGTTTGTAAGACTGTAAGCACAGAGTAATAGTTCTCACATTAATTATGAGCCACAGAAAATACTCAGCTGGCTTACAGGTGAAAGTAATTGTTTCTTTGCCTTCATCCCCACAGTTATCCTCTTATATTAGACACATGGTCTTTCCTACATAGAAGAGGAGATCCATCTACTGTTGTAGTAGATGGATCTACTATATGGATCAAATATAATTTTACCTTTATTTAGTGAATTGGGGTTTCATGTAAAAATGTAGTTGATGGTCTTAAATCATAGAAAAAAAGAGCAACACATTTGTTGCCCTTACTCCATGTTAAGAATCATATTCATGTGCATTCACAACCAAAAAGTCCCACAAAAACCAAGAAAAAATACAGTACATACTTCGAAGTACACTTCAGATAACCTCATAATATCTATAGGAAACTCAGGAGTTACTGCATCCTCTTATTTCCTAACTCATGACAAAATATATATATTATTGTCAACACAGACACCCCTGCTGCATGGCATGATAGCCATTAGTCTTTAAACCTGTACAGTATGTTAAATTTAGATTAATTTTTCTTCTTCTACCCAGGGACCCAAAGGACGTCCAGGCACCCCAGGCTCATCGGGCTACCCAGGATTCAAGGTAGAATCACTGTTCCTCTAAAGCAGATGTATGGTACAAGTCGGGTATTTTCTTACAGCTGTGTTTTCCTATATCCTAATAATTATAAAGAGACATCAACATTTCTTACTAAAAAGAACTTTTATATCATTTGTAGTGAACCTGTGAATTTATAACACCACAATATATCAGATCCACACGCCGTAGGCATAAAGGCAGCAGCTGAAAGGGCAAAGTTTGTATAAAGCTTCTCTGCTATTTCACCAGCAGATGGGGCTACTGTGCTCACACTGATGGTAGCAATTTTTATTGCTCTATCTGTCACATATACTACTCTTGTTACAGAGGTAATGACAACTTGTAAAAGCGGATATTTTTTAATATAAAACATTAACAATAATTAAATTGCCTAATCACGGATCTTCATTTATAGACACTATCCTAGCTTAGCAGTTACAGGACATTTCATTAAACCCTTTTGACTTCTTGGTAACATATATCTAATCAGCTGATAATATGGCAGCAGTCGTATTTGGACATGTTGACATGGTCAAGATGACCTGCTGAGGTTCAAACCGAGCAAAGAATGAGGAAGCAAGGTGGGTGAAGATGCCTTGTTAATATCAAAGGAGAGCAGCTTGACTACTCTGAGCTGAGAAGAAGGCAGTAACTCAACAACCGCTCATTACAGCCAGAAGAGCAAACGAGCATCACTGAAAGCACAAAATGTTAATATCACTCTGCCACAATGACACATTTTCAGATACACCCTCTGGGTTTTATGGTTAGCTAACTGAAAATGGTTACTTATCTATATGTTGGTTTAGAGAGATGATACCATCAATATTTCTGCTCTAACCTGTTTTTTGGGTACATCTTGTAGGGAGACCAGGGAGACCCCGGACCCCCAGGACCTAGCTCTTTTGTTAATGGGGGTTATGCTATTCAAGGTAACACCTTGAGTTTTTTTTACACATGTGTTCCTGTGAACCACCGGCCCTTTAACCACCTCTTCTGTGATTGGTTGCAGGACCTCCAGGGGACTCGGGTTTACGTGGCTTTCCAGGACCCCGGGGTGACCAGGGACGTCAAGGCTTTCCAGGACCTCCCGGCCAACCAGGACCTGATCGTTTTGGTCCAGGTAATACACACAAATTCACACTGATCACGGAGGATTAACCACCATCAGTAATGATCTTTAGACAACAGAAGCTGTCTGTGCACACAGGTCTTCGAGGTCCTCCTGGGCCCAAAGGTGTAAAAGGAGAAGTGGGTGACCCCGGCTTACGGCCCACTGGTTTTGAAGGTTTCCCAGGACTCCCTGGGCCCCCAGGTCCCAGTGGCCTTCCTGGACCTCAAGGCCCTCCAGGTACATTTACACAAAAACAGCAGATAAAGCTCTGTGGTCCTTCCCTCTCAGGCAAGCAGAAGTAGAAACCGAATATTTGAAAGTACAGCTTTATTTTTATTTCCTCCTAATTTTCTTATACATGTTTGAGCTTTGACTGTTGTGTAAGTTGTGCTCAGTTTCTGTTACTGTTGGGGTTACGGGGATTGAAGCAAAATATTTTTCAGTATATAAAAAATAGGTTTTTACATTTTAAACACAATAAAATTCAACTACTCGGTAGAAGTGAAAGACAAGACATAGAAACACTTTCAAATATAACAGCTGACTGACTTTGCTGTCCTTCAAGGCACAAACGCTGAGCCCTGCTACATCTATCCTGATACAGGTCAGTCCTACAGGTATCCCAAAGGCAGCCATATTTCTTTGAAACTCGCCAGCAACAATCATGCTGCCAAAGTGAAATTCAAAACCACAGACTCAACTTTCACAGCCAGCATCTAGCTGCCACAATGCTTTATTTGATCACTTCTGTGCTGTGGAGGGAGCGGTTGTTAGTATAGAGTGTAGCCAGCTTCAGTCTTGGATATGAGAGGCTCTCTCTACTGATCCAAGCTGCTTCTCTCATCTCTGGTGACAAGGTGTCGCCTGCTGTGAACGTAATTCACAGATCTCACGTGGACATTAACGCTTGCTAGCAAAAGATTTCTTTAATGACTGTTTATTTGTAAAACACACACATGGAAACACAGGAAGAAACAGTCTGTGTAACATACTGGAAGGAAATCATTGGAAAAACAAAAGATGATTTCACTGGCATGGAAGATGACTGTGTTTGGGTATTTTCTTTGCCGGGGTAAGGCTCCGAACTGCAACAGGCTGTGCATGCTGCTTCTGGTGAGTAGCTCTTAACCATGACGGTCGATGTAAAATCACTGAAGGGGTTCATGTTGTTTTACATTTTAAGATGGCAAAAAATAAGCCTCTCATCTTGCAACAGAAGCTTAAATCTTTTGTCGAATCTGGAAACCAAACAAAGCAAACTAACCTGATTTTAAACTGTGGCTTCGAGCCGCACTTCCGCTCTGCTGGCTTGAGTAATTCCTTTTCCGGTTATTGAAAGCTTGGTTTCAAAAGCAGAAGCAATAAATCAGTTCAAGAAACTTAAACAAGTATAAAGTGTTTGTGTAAAATCTTAAAGTAACAATTTGTGACTTTTAAAACTACTTTGCGGTCAGTGTAACCTCTAATGGGTGTAGTTTTGCGTGTGTGTTTGTGCAGGTGACTCTGAAGGTCTACCAACTGCTCCCCCTGGAGGCCCCGGGCCGCCTGGTCCCACAGGATTTCCAGGAAACATTGGTGCCAAAGGGTTTAGAGGTACACGCAGATATGCAGACTTCATGAAATGAAATGATTTGTTTCTCGCAAAAAATATATTTAAATCATCGCGTATTTCAAAATGAGTCAAAATTGTTGTCGAGAAGTGAAGAGGTGAGTGAGGAGTTTACCCACACAGTAATAAATGAAAAGCAAGCAGCAAAATACAAATACGAAGCATTGGTATCCAAGGAAACTAAAACACAACTGGAAATGGAAGAAAAAGTGCGACAATCTACAATTCTTAATCCCGCCGTCCTGCAGGCGACCCTGGTGACTGCAGATGTTCTGGAGGAGACTTCTCGGGGTTAGATGGACCACCTGGACGTCCAGGAACCAATGGCAGTCCTGGCCTGCCTGGGGTGAAGGGTTTTCTTGGAGACCCCGGTTCACTAGGCTTCAGTGGTCGTCCAGGACCTAGTGTAAGCAAAACTCTGCCCTTGATATGACTTGAATGGGAATTATTAATAATAATCATCATCATCATCATCATCATCATCATCATCGTATTAATCATAATGATAAGTAATTTAAATGCATGCATACCAGTTTCTGAAGTTTCACATTTCTGTAACTTTGCAGGGTCCTCCTGGTCAGCGGGGCTTCCCCGGGCGTAAGGGAGAGAAGGGGGCTCCATATTACCCCACCCTAAATCTGGGGTTGAAGGGAGTCATAGGAGATCCTGGACCCAGAGGACCTACAGGTGAAACAGGAAATCCTGGAAGAGACGGGCTGCCTGGCTTCCCTGGATTTCCTGGACCCCCAGTGAGTCCTTCGAAACACAGTTTACATATTAGTTCATCTTCAGAAAGATTTTCATTTAATACGTTTTTAAAAAGACGTCCAAATGAGGATCATTGTTTCCTCTTTCCTCTCATATATTTTCTGTCCTTTCATTTCGTGTTTTCCCCTTTCTTCTTCTTTTGTTTTTCGTCTCTCGCTTCTTTGCTGTCTTTTCATCTCATTCCCTTATTTCATTTCTTCTCCTGTATAATTTCTGTGCCTTTCTGTTCTTCCCCTTTTATTTTGTATATTATCATCTCTTTCCTTCCTTTTTCTCTTTTCCTTCCTTTTATTTTCTTTTGTCTTCTGTTCTCTCTCCCACCTTTTCATTATCCTTCTTTTGTTTTACTCATATTTTCTACCACTCACCTTCTTTGCTTTCCCTTTTTTGGTTTCTTTACTTTCTTTTTCTTATATTTCCTCTAACTTTCCTTTTCTCCTTCTTCTTGGTTTTCTCTTTCCTTTAATGGCCTATCCTCTTTCCTGTTTCCTTATTTTCCATTCCCTCTTCCATTTCTCACCTTTCTTTCTTTTCTTTTCTTTTCTTTTCTTTTCTTTTCTTTTCTTTTCTTTTCTTTCCTTTCCTTTCCTTTCCTTTCCTCTTCTCTCCTCTCCTCTCCTCTCCTCTCTAGGGTGATGCAGGCATCGGCTCAAGGGGAGAAAAAGGATTTCAAGGGTTTCCAGGTTCTAAGGGACGTCCTGGAGGCCCTGGTGAGCCGGGCATTGGCTATGATGGAGCACCCGGCTTGCGTGGAGACCCTGGAGAACCCGGTATACCTGGTTCTCCAGGTATACCGGGTTCACCTGGAGAGAAAGGTAAATAATGGTGTTTTGAGTGTGTGTCCGTGAGACAGAGAATGACAGAAAATATGTGAATGTGTGTCATACAGTCTTCTTCCACAGGGCGATATCCACACCACCTCATCCCATCACTGTCCATCCTCAGCACACAACAGTTATCGTCCTCACATGCTAGATCATTATAAGACCTCTGTGAGGCAGCCTGTCCAGGACTTGGACAGAGCTTGTGGCTCTTGTTAGATTTCCTCTTCCAAAGCAGCTACCTGCTCTCCGTGTTTCCTCGGCTGCAGCAGCAAACGATTAACGAAATGATTAACGGTCTCCATTAATGTACTTACACACTTCACCTGCAGCCAACAATCTATAAACTGCTTCCTTAATGGAATGATTGATGCTTAATGATGATGATGTATTTGCTGATTAAGCTAAAACGACTGTGCTTGTTTAGTCTCAGAACAGGTGAGAAGTTTGATGTTTGCCATGTCTGGCTTTTTACCCAAAAATCTGCTGCTAAACTAAATTTACATAACCAAACCAAAACATAGTTTATGTGTGTTTTTTCCTTTGCAAATCTTTTTTTTTTTTTTAGCTTATCAACAGTCAGCTTCTAGCTACACTTTTCAGTTTTTTGCTACAGCCACAATGAATATAAAATGATGGCAGCAGCAGACGCCTGCATCTTCCTGAGACTAAATGACACAAGCCTTTCGGCAGCAGCTGGCCACTCATCTTTAGTATGAATGTGTGCTTTCATACCATGACGACTGATTAATTTTTGCTTTTAATATGAAGGTTATTGTCGCTGGCAGGAGTTAAGAGAGAACGAAGTGTTTGGATGCATCGCTGGCACACAGATGCCCCTCCTTCCTCTCTCTCCTCTCATGTTGACGGCAATAACCTGTTTTTGCCTGAACTGAATGAACTTATTGCTGATTTGCTGATACCTGTTGTGATGAAAACCCAACTCAATGGCTTTATTGGGGCATGCAAATCAACCTAAGTGGCTTTGTATGCTGCCACCTTCTGCCTCTCCCTCTCTCTCTACCTGTCTTTATCTCCCCCATCCATCCATCCCCTCGTCTCTCTGACCTCCTTTGTGCATGTGTATCTATCCAGGTGAAAGCATCTGTGAAGGGCTTAATGACGCCGAGGAGGGACAGGGTGGGTAACTGATTCTTTTATCCACCAGCCAGGCTAGTGAGCCTTTGACAGAACCTCTAGAGTTAGTTGCAGGCAGACGAGCAGCTGGTGGATGAATATGCTGCTGCTGTTTACAATGGAAGCAACCTGTTTGGTCTGTCTGATGGGTTTCAAAAAACGAGCATTCCACATTCAATGAATGATGCTTCAATTATATGACTTTCAGAAACTAGAGAAACTTTTTAGGCCAGTAAACCTCCCACAAACAGTTGGGTCCAAAGTTATTGCAATAGTGTGTAAAGAACTGTAAATGTCATAATTCATGAAACTAAAACAGAGAGAAAAGAAGACATGGTATCAATGATGACCATTAAAAATATAACCATGGGTTTTGCTTTAGTCAAGCCTGTAGGACCTCGAAGATAGAAAAGGGAAAAATTACTCAGTATATTTAGGGAGACAAAATAACTTGTGATCATAATCCAAACCTAAGCCTATAATCTGGTTAAACAAAAGTTGTTGTCTTCGTTCCCTAATTGCCAAGATTTGGCATAAAAAGAAAGAATGATTCTGATTGCTTGGGGTTATAGTTAAGCTTAGGTTTGGCACAGATGATGACTTAGATCTCAGAGGGTTAATGATGTGATAGCCTGGATGTAAGCCATTCATTAGCTTTGGGTTGCCAGGTTCTGCATTTTCCTAAATAGCCCATGTTTATCCTTTTTATCATTCTGCCCTTGTAATATTAGTAGACCCTTGGTAAACACCTAAGAAACTCCAGTGTTTCTGCAGCTCTGTCAAAAAGCATTGTGTCAAAGATATTTTTCACAGTCTGGGAGCCCAGACTATTGTTTGAGGTCTTATTACAGCTTATAAATGTTTCATAAGGGAAGTCTTTCAGAAAAAGCCCCAGCCTCCTTTAATCATGGGAAACATAGTGCACTCTGGAAACTACTGGCTAACTGTCAATCATTTGTTCATGACGAGGCCGATGGAAGCTTCTCGCTCCCTGCATCTTCAGGGTTTCCACTCAGGCCCAGTCAGTCAATGATTGACTGTCGAGCTTCAGGGCTGTTTATACGCGCTCGGCTTCCAATCAAAGCTGCTGAAATCTTGCGCATGTTTTCAAGCCAAGCCTCTGCTAAATGCTTTTAATTAATGAATGAAATGAAACACAAAACCTGCACTGGATTTCTAATTCCCATTATCTTCTTAATATAAAGAATTTGCTTCTAACTCCCTGCACAAAAAGTCTCTGTTGGCGTGAGTGGAGGCGATAGACAATCAGCACCTCAACAAAACATTCACTGAATATAATTATCCAACATTTTACTGTGTCACTGTGTTTATCTTGCAGTTATTTATAATAATACATTATCACATATGTCTACCATGGTGTTAAAGTTGATGTTTCACTATACTGAAGTCTTTGTTTGTATTTAACATGTGATTTTGACCTGTGCTACATTGCGCTACTTCAACTCTTTGCCCTGATTTGATTAGTTGAAAAGAATACACAACTCTAAAACTGTGTATATATATAAATAGGTATACATTTGTAGATGTGCTATTATGTGTCCAAGTGTTCACTCTAAATGTGTATTCAAGTGCTTGAGGTCTGAATGCTAACCTGTGTATGACTGCTACCAGGACAAACTCTGGCTTGCGTATTTACGGGTGAGGCAGGAGACCCAGGCGATTCCGGTTTCCTTGGACAACCAGGTACGATTTAACAGATGTCTTATGGTGATTTTACAGCCTTAAAGCCTTAAACTCTATGATGATCACAGTTAGGCACAAACACACACACACCTTTACACCATATGTTCTCTGATTGGCTGCCTATCCCTCTCTATGACATCACGGATCCAAGAATAAATTGTAGTAGTTTAATTTTACACAAGATGACCTCAACATTTCAAACGTTGCCCATGTTTAATGCACCAATCTACCAATGGAACAACAGGAAATGGAGAAAAGCATAATAGGTCCTCTTTGCATGCACTTTCACATTGTTCATTTGTAGATACAGGTGCAAATTGCATGATTTTACTTTGTGGCTCTAGGTTTGTAGTTGATCTATTAAGATTCTCAATCAGTGTTTACAGAAATAAGATGAATATGTTCATTAATAATTTTATGAAACAACTTTGTCTGTATTACTGCTTGTAATGTTGTTGTGACTATTGCTTACAAACTGGGGAAACAAATCATCAGAATGATTGTGCCTCTTGCCAGGTCTTAAAGGTAAACCAGGGCTGCAAGGGCCCTCTGGACGTCCAGGGTTTGATGGCCCAAAGGAGAAAGAGGAGACCCCGGCACCGGAGGCGTGCGTGGACCTGAAGGTAAATTGCGTGGTGGGGTTCTCTGTACCAGACTGCAATAAGACATAACATGCAAAAGTCAAATAATTACAAATGAAACTCAAAGTTTTTTTATTGTAATGTGAATTGAATTGTGTAATTAATTTAATTATCCTCTAATCTCTGATTTAGGCCTTCTTATAATGCAATTACATGGCAGGGATAGCTGGTGTGTTTATGAATTGGACCCAAAAGCAGACACAAGATACAAAAGAAATAGAAGAACGAGGCAAGGACATGAAACTGAATGCGAACATGCAAAATGTAACTGTGAAATAATCAAAACATGAAATGAGTATGAGCATGAACATGAACCCGGACAGTTGGAAACTTTGACATGAAGACAACCAAACAGCCCGACACTCAACAGAGGAAGATGGGCGACTTAAACACACCGAAGGGTAATGCTGGAAGTGGAAACAGCTGGGGAAACACAGCTGAAACAAATAAACATGACGCCACAGGGGAAGCAAAACTAAACACACTGACCATGGAAACAAGACTTACAAAATCAAGCAGGAAACATAATGGAGCATAGACACGACAGCACAAGGGTGACAATTAGAACATGGATCAGAAGGGAGAGACTAATGCACTGGCATAAATGAAAGTGAAAACACAGAGGACGAGACCGACTACACAGAGGACAGGAAACGACTCGTAAATCAGGAGACATTGATGGAACAAAAACTAGAATAAAACTCAACTAAACCCCAACTAAATAATAACACCAGAACTTAATATTATCTCAATCTTAACATAATAAAATCACAAATACAAAATAAACCCAAAACACCGGGTCACAGACCCAGCCCCTGACAGCTTTTTCTTTTGCTTCTAGTGCTGCATTTATGATTAGGCAGTTACTGGAGGCTGTGCCGTAAACAAAATGACATGTTTAAAACATGTCAATAAACATGGAGATCTTGAAATGTTCGCGTTGCAGGGGCCACGTCTACAACCATGCGCATGGGCAGGTGATGTCTTCAAAGCAACCTTGGTGTTTCAAGATGGCGTTAAAATGGCAAAAAGACAGTCAGTCTGCTATCACTTTGTGATTAAATAGGATCAAGTGGTAATTACATGCAATCTGTTTGTGATAGCAGACTGATTACCTGGGACAAATTGTCAAAAAATCTGTTCACATAAACTGCTTACATTCAGAGTGCACACAGAACTTCATCTGAAATCAAAAATTCTGAATTTCCCCACATTCAGTCTATCGATATTAATCTTTAACCTTGATCTTTGGCGGTTTCCTGTCCTTAACTTTGGTTGGTTACAACTTCCTGTCACAGAGAGAGTGATAGAGAGGGTGCTTCCAACTTCACTATTGTGCATTTTAATGCGTTGCTCGGGATGTCATTCCCTGCAGGTTTCACTGGACCCAGAGGGGACCCTGGTATTCCAGGTATCCCAGGGCAGAGTTTTGATGGGCCAGGGGTAAGGACGGTCTCCCAGGCCGTCCTGGAGCCAAGGGCCAGCCTGGAGAGGTGCTAGGAGCTACACCTGGATTTCCTGGTCAGAACGGTTTACCAGGAATTCCTGGAGACAAGGGCCAGCCGGGAACACCTGGAGGACCTGGAATGCCTGGTGGGTAGCAGGATTTAAGTCAGTTACTTATTTTAATAAAACAAATAAAAACATAGTATTCGATGGGTGTCCTGAAATAACAAATGCAGCTGACTTAGCATTTAAATGCTTCTGCAAGCAACACTTTGTAAACAAAGTCTGTTCTTGAAGGGTTGATGGACGTCCTGGTGCTCCTGGTCGGAAAGGAGAACGCGGAGTTAACGGTTTTCCTGGTAATCCTGGCCTTCCTGGGCTTCCAGGTGACCAGATGGTCGCATTCCTGGTCCACCTGGCCCTGATGGTAGTAAGGGTCTGAGAGGACCACCAGGTGAGAGAAAGAAATGATTTGGGGGTTTGTTATATTTTTTGCACATTTTACACTCGAATTTGTACCTTTGAGAGATTCTTAGTGTGAATTATTGCAAAAGAAGGTGAAATATGACTTTGTTGTGATCTCTACTGAAATCCTTCACCTCTCATCCCTGCACCAGCTCTGGTTCATTCCTCTTTTGTTCACATCGTTCTTTCACAGTCTCCATCATCACAGTTGCCCGTTTGAATCGTGTTGTTTATCAAACACTGCATCACCCACGAGAATGTCTTCTCCCTCTTTGTTTTTGTATTGTTGTATTTTTCCATGTCTCTGTTCTTCCTCCTTGTCACTTTCATCTTTTTCCCAACACCACCACCACCATCATCATCTCCATCCATCCTCTCATCCCTCCATCCTTTTTTTGTTGGTGTTGGGTCACTCGTTATAGGCTGCCCAGGTGAGACACTCTTTCCCTCGTCCCATTGTCCATCTCTCCTCCCTCCAGCCGCGCCACCCTTGGCTTGCATTTCCTCCATCCTCTTGCGTTGGTGTATTAGAACAAACACTTGAACTGCTGCCTTCATTTCTCATCTGCGCTGCACACAAATGTCCATCTCCACAGTGCAGTCGTGGAGTCTCGTATGGGGTGTAACACCACGTCTCTGGAAAAAAAAGATGGTAAAGGAAAGTAATTAATATGAAGGTGAATGAATACAGAGGCAAAGTAAAACATTAACGCCTATATTATTTATTATTTTCAAATTATTTTGATTAATTGAATGGCATATTAATTTATTTATGTAATTTTTTTTTTGTTCTTTATTTATTTTGTCTTTGGGAGGGGGTGGAGCAGCTTACCTCCTCCAAATATAGTGTTACCTCATTATCTAAGAGACGATGACTTTTGCCTATGTTTGATGAGGTGCTTCATCATAATCGTGCCATTTGACTGTGTTTGCATCAATAACTATTTTAAAGTACATAAAACTATGATGCTAGAGGAAATGACATCATCACACCCCACAGAAAGACTGAACCAGATGGATATTTTGTAACAGTTCTGTAAACAAAGCATTTCCGCAGGAAATGTGAAAACCACTGTTTGCTGTTCTTACTTGCAGAAACGACTAACCTCATTGTGAACTAAGTGTTTCTGTCTAATCAGTTCCAGATGTGTTTGATGAATTAACTGTAACAGGTTTGTGTGAAAATTGAAGATTTGGGGGCAAATGCTGTTTAACTCAAAGCTAGAAGCTTTATTTTACACTCTTGAAGGGACTTCTTATTTTCAGCGCATCCTTGCATTGATCAAAAAGTGATAAGCTGCAACTTTGCAGCACAGATGTGCTGAAAATGGGTTCATTTTTTAGAATGTAAACAGTAGCAGTTAGTGTGCTTTAGATGGCTTAACCTTGCTAGTCTGGAATTGCACTCAGAAACAGTATGATTACCAATCGGCTGGTTCTCCTGTAATGTGAGTATCAAAATTAGCCACACTGAGCTTTCATGTCTCTGCAACAAAATCTGCAATCTGGGTGCAATTACAGACCAATCGCAGCAATGAAGTATTGTAAAGAAATGTGTGATGGCATTGTTGTTGCTGTTTGCAAGGCTGCTTTAATATGTGTGTTAAAAGATAGAAAAACTAGCTTAAAACCTGATTGTTCGGAGGTAAGTGTATTCCTCATACAAAAGATAATAATACATATTATTATATTATGATACAGTTATGGTCAAAAAGAAAGATTAGCCTCTTAAATTCTAAGGTTGTACCTATAAGAACATAATAAAGATAGTCTGGTCCTTAGCAGGTCTTAAAATTAGGCAAACACAGCCTCAGATGAACTACAAAACATGTTGCATTGTGTATTTAATAAACAAAAACAAAAGCAAAAAGAAGAAGCATTGCGTAAAAAGTGTAGGAGCGGTCCTACCAGCAAATTCGCCTTCAATCAGTCCTGCAATGCTCAGTGAAAATGTGCAAGAGGTACGTCTCAGACTCTACAGGGCTCAGTTGTCATGTTAAATGTTAAAGGTCATTAGCAGAGATGGGCAGTAATGCGTTAAAAGTGATGTAATCCAATTACTTTTTCAAGTAGAGAGAAAAGTCAGGGATTACTACTACAAAAAAGTAATTAGATTACTGTTACTTTACCGTACGCTCATGTGTTACTGCGTTACTAAGTAACGAAAAAAAGGCAGCAGACTAATTACACGGAGGATAACGAGATGATGGGAAACAGAGGGAAACACAGCTGGAACTAATCAGACATAACAGACAGGGAGGAAGCAAAACTGACAGGACAACAGACTATCAAAATAAAACAGGAAACATGAGACACACACACTAAAGCATGGACTAACTGAACACAGGGAACCAAGGCAGCGAGAGACACGACTGGGAAACAGATGAATAAACATGGAGACAGAAGTTAGCATGCGTGATGGAGCATCGACACAGGGGAGACATGGAAACAGAACCAATGACTTAAATGCTCTGTTCAGCTGTGCATAAATTAATTTCTGTAAACCTTCATGAACTGAAGTAACGCTGTCAAGAATACTGAGCCAAGATTATTAGAAAATGATGTGACTGATAAAATCATGCAGAACATTATCAAGTTATTGTTGCTAAAGGTGATGCTAACTACTATTGACTTTTGGACTACATTATGAAATGTGTTGCTGTTCATTTGAGGTTGTATTTGTGTAATTTTAAAATCTGGTAAGCACCCGAAGACTGCATGCTTTTCCAGATAATTAGCCAGCAGCCCTTTTTCCATGTGTCTGTATGAATGTCAGATTGTTGTCAGTGTTTTGTTTTTCTCACTGTCTCTCCTTCCATTATTGGCAGGTTTCCCTGGTCGGAAAGGAGAAAGAGGAGAACCAGGTTTCCCAGGACCTGCTGGGATGAAAGGAACTCCCGGACGACCTGGTGCTACTGGGTTACCAGGAACAAGGGGACGCCCCGGTTTACCAGGACCAGGGACTATAGATGGAATTCCAGGAACGCCAGGAAGAAAGGGTCTGCAGAAGTAGTTTTTTGTTTTTTTCCAAGGCCACATTTGTCATTTTTAGTGGTGTCGTGTTAGATGTTGATCATGACTTTACTGACTATGATGATGGACAGAGTGATCCTACTGGTTGACTCCCACATTATAAAGGCATGGTTGGGGAATTCATATCACCATTGTACGAACATCAGTAATATGGTCAGTGCTGCAATGTACTGATCATGGTGAGGTGGTGAACAAGATTACTTTTTTAAGATTGTTCAGGGAGTTTTTAAGACAGCCTGATAACAATGAATTACAAATTCTGGTCAAACAATTCCAAGATATCTCACAGTGTTAGTAGAAGCCCAGATAATTAGGTTAGACAATATGTTTGCATGATTTTTAGGGCCAAGTGCAATGACCTCAGTTTCATCAGAATTTAGAGGTCAACAAGTCTGTATGTCTGTAAGACATTCCTGCCGTTTAACGCACACTTTTGCAGGTTTGTGTCGTCAGGCTTCGAGGATAGATAAACCTGAGTGCCATCTGAATAACAAAGAAAATGTGTGCTGTACCCTTGAATGATGCTGCCTAAGGGAAGCATGACCTCTCAGTTCATTTTAATTCTTATTAGCGCAATAGAGCCAACCAATGACGGGCAAACGTTTCACTTTTTTTCTCTGCTTCATATGTTTCAGTTACCTGTCCAGTATTACTGACATTGTCACTGCCATTCTGCTTTGTTACAGATATCATAATAGTGACTAACTATGCTAATTTCCACAGGTGACAGAGGCATCCAAGGAATGATGGGCTTCCCTGGATTTGCAGGACCTCCTGGCAGTTCAGGATTTCCCGGAGTGAAAGGACAGCCTGGAGTGCCTGGAGCAAATGGACGCCCTGGGTCGCCTGGATTCTTTGGAACTAAAGGTAAAATATCCCCCACAGGAATAAGTGTACTGATCCTGGGCCAATAAAAGAATGAATTAGCAATGCTAATGCTACTCCTTGAGATTATCATGAGGCAAACTGTGTGACATGGCTAAGCATGGCTACAATTCCCCCACTGTTTGTTTTGTTCCCGCCTAATACTTGGCTCTGTCACAACAGCATCTAAAGGGCACTTGCTGCAAACAATCTCACATGAACAAGTTAGACTTTTAATGGCATCCCAGATATTTAGTTTTGTACATTTGAATTCCATTTGTCCTAAGGCATTCCCATTGGTTGGTAGGTTTCTGCAGGGCTCACACCATTAGATGCTCATCCTAAATTTTGGGCACCATGAGAAGTTTTTCAAAGACTGTGTTTGGTTGAACCACCACAACAACCGTCTCTCATGATGGGGACCCCTGTTTTGGAACCACGTCATCAACATTTTGGTTATCTTTCAGGGCCAAGAATTTATCAATCAAGTTGCATGAACTTTGGCTTTGCACCAACATTCCTCTGTTTTTACTTTGGCAGGTGACAGAGGATTACCTGGTCCACCCGGATTTCCTGGTAGACCTTTTCAGCTGAGCTTGTAGAGAAAGGAGACATCGGAGACCCTGGAATAACCGGCCTTTCTGGCTTTACTGGACCCAGAGGTAACATGGTGCTTTGTTTCTTTCAGAACGTCACCGGATAATCTGAAGGGCATAAATTAACTGCACACTTTATTAGGATCTTCTGGTGAATTTTAAATCGTTTAGAGAAGAGATTCATATTTGTTACATATTTTGTAAAATAAGAAATTTTTCATAGATGAGGACTTCAACACTGAATTGGTGGATGAAGCTGAGAGGACCAACACAATAAAGAGGGCCGGGGCAGTGACTCAGATTAGTGGAAATACTGCCTCGCAGACAGAGAGCATCTACGGTTGCCTGTGTTGGGATACCTCTCAGCTTAACAAACAAACAAAATATCTGTACTGTGCTCTTAAAGAAGGGGAAATTATCAGTAAACCCCTAAAACAGCATTTTGTTACATGCTGAAAACATGCTGTAAAGTTTAGCACTTTGATACGGGAGTCTCCAGATACTGACCTTCAGAGCCAGCCCCAAGTTCCCACTAGAGGAACTGCAGCTGTTTGCACTTCTGCAAAATGTAGGCTCTCTAATGAAGAATTTAACTGCTTTTTGCTGCTGTGAACATCCATCACCTTGTGTTACAAACTCTGATCTTTCTCTGGGTTAACAGGTGACAAGGGTCAGCCAGGAGCTCCAGGTCGTCCAGGACGACCTGGAGCTCCTGGTTTCCCTGATCTGAGTAAAGGGCTGCCGGGAGAACCTGGCCTTTCTGGGGAAACAGGACTTCCAGGCTTCTCTGGACAAAAAGGAGAATCTGGAATTATGGGATTCCCTGGCACTGTGGGACCAAAAGTAAGAAAAGATGCATATACATGTAGCAAATTTTGCCAGCCAGAGATTAAAATTCGGATGTTTGTTTGTTTGTTTTTAGGGCAATAATGGCTTTCCAGGTTTATCTGGAAGGCCTGGAGAAGTTGGTCGGCCTGGTGCCAAAGGTAAGAGTACATATTAGTGCTGTTGGATATAACGATATGCATCGGATGATGATATGAGAACATCTGTATTACACTATCATTTGTTTTGTTGTGTCCCAAAATAAACTGTTTACGGCAATATTGTAGTGGCTATATTAATTTCTAATAGTTCTCACGTTCTCTTATATTTAAAAAAAAAACGCACTATGCATGGGCAAGCGACTGTTTTCATGCATTATTGTTTGCAGCATGTGGCTCCACCATCCGCTTGTTTATTTTCCACATAAAAGTGTCACAATAAAGCCGAAGATCCTGTTCCAACTTTTCAAAATAAACTGATGCGATGATAATATACAGTATTCTCAAACGTCAAATTTTGGAGTATGCATTAATGAAAATACCTCAAATAAGGTACACGACACCCAGCTTCACGCAAGTGGCCTGAGATTCACAGAATTTACAGAAAATGTTACATTTTTGTGATTTATATCGTTGTCGGGACGATAAATGTGTTATATCAGGATATGAGATTTTGTTCATATCGCACAGCACTAGTACATATGAAGTCTACCATCAGTGATAAACATCTTCTTTACATCTGTTCATAATCAAATGAAACATCCTTTGACTTAAATGCTTTTTTCTCTTAGGACTACCTGGAGAAACTTTTGGTTATCCTGGAGCACCAGGACTTAAAGGCCGACAAGGAGATTCAGGGATCCCAGGTAAGACTCACCTTACTCGGTTACGGTGAAACTTTATTTGTCATGGCCATTGATCAGCAACCACTGATCAATGGCCATGAGTACCATTCACAGAGAGTTGGGGAACGGCTGCAATCACAGCATTGTAGGATGGTGAAAGATGTACCCTTAGGCCCCCTCCTCGATTCAGAGATGGTCTTTCCCTTTTCACATCTCTGTAAATAAAGAAAAGCATTCAGCATCACATCACTTGTAGTCTTGTTGTTGTCATGTTTTATAAACTTGTTGACATGGATCAGAATTTACATTTCCTTTATGTTTTATTTTTAGTAAAATAAATATATTTAGTGCAGGTGAAGAAATTCTTAGTACTGTGGGACAAGCTTTTTGGGAGATCAGAGTTGGTCTCCAATCTCTGATTTCTTCAGAAGTTTTAAAACATTTTAAATATGTCGACAGGCGACCAAGGGAAAGTTGGTGAACCTGGCGATAATGGATTTTCAGGAAATCCAGGTTTCCTCGGACAGAAGGGGATTCCTGGTGAACAGGGACGGTATGGAATAATGGGTGAGTAACTCCTAAGAAAACAAAGTCCTGTTGCAGTAATTCCTTCATGACGTCGTAGAGATTTGTATTTACAGAAAGTGTTGAGATGTCGTTTTTCTTCTCTGCAGGCTCTCCTGGTTTCCCTGGACCAAAAGGTCAGCCTGGATTGCCAGGAATAGGAGGGGGCCTGATGGGCTTCCTGGTCGGCCTGGATTCCTTGGAAATCGTGGGTTTAAAGGTGAAAGGAAAAAAGAAAATCCACTACATTCATACACTAATCTTACAATGATTTTTCCAAATGAGGTTAAAAAAATGGTCTTTCCAGTGTTTTTAATGTTTTGTTTGTTTGTTTTATTTTTGTTATTTTAGGTTTTCCCGGACCACCTGGTTTGGATGGCCTTAATGGCCTAGCAGGACCTAAAGGCCTGCCTGGAAACCCAGGCAAGAATCACATTTCACGCACCAGCTGATTCTATATTTCTTGCTTTATTTCACAGCTCACTACTCACTCAGTACTCAGTAAACCAAAATGAGATGTACAATAAGCCAGATAATCCAAAGCTAAAGCTAATCTTAGCATGATCCAGTAAGAATAGATGAATGTATCAAGTAGTTATGGCTCGATAACTGAGGAAAGATGAGCAGTTTTGCATTTTGGCCCTTTGTGTGTCTGCAGAAAAGTTCATTATTCAAAGCTGTGAGGCATACTGCTTCTGCAAAGCTCAACCTTTTCGCCCTCTTCATCAGGGTCAACATACGTCTGATTGTTTTAGGCTTGCAAAGATGAAAGATTTAACGACTTTGTGTTTTTTTATCTAGGTGCAATTCTGGGAGGTAGCCCTGGCCTTTCTGGTAGTCCAGGGTTGAAGGGAGAAAGAGGTGTTTCCCAACCCGGTGTTCCAGGGTATCCCGGCCAAAAAGGACAAAGAGGAGAACCAGGTGAAATAGACTTCAATGAAATCAAAAATGTGCAGATTCAATGTGCAATAATATATATAGCAATAGATTTTTTTACTTTCTGTATATCAGGTCCTTTTGGATTGAAAGGGAGCCCGGGTATCCCTGGACCTCCTGGACCCAGATCAATAGAAAGCTTTCCTGGACCTACAGGAGATGCAGGTCTCCCTGGACTGGATGGACAGTATGGTAAATACATTTCCTTAATCAACTTGGATGATTTTGTTTTCCATTCTCTTCTTTTTTCACATTTTTTTCTTTTTTCCTTTTATATTCTCCTATACTTTTCTATGCTTAGTTTTTCTTTCTTTTCCCTTTAACGTTAATTTATTCAACCTTCCTTGAATTGAATTTCTCTCTTCCTCTCCTTTTTTCTTTCTTACAGGTGTCCAAGGTCCTCCAGGTCTTCCCGGCCCACCTGGTCCAGGCACAGCTCAGGGAGACAGAGGTGACCCTGGTCTGCCAGGCTTCCCAGGGAACCCTGGTACAAAGGGTGAACCAGGATTACCTGGAGGTCCTGCATTCCCTGGCAGACCTGGTTTAAAAGGTGGAGTATGGCTAAAATACATGGCATGAACTAAAAATGCTGCTTCTTCTTTTCTATGTTTGCTCCTATATGTTTTCAATTTAAAAAAAGATAAACTGAAACATTATGTATTTGCCATTCAGGACAAAAGGGTGATGGTGGTTTTGCTGGAATTCCTGGTGTCCAGGGTTTTAGAGGTGACTCTGGTTTTCCTGGAAGCAAAGGAATGGCAGGAATTAGAGGTAGGACAGCATAAGTCTTTAGTTTCCCCCACTCTTTTCCCCACAATTTCTTCTTAATTTTCTTCTACCCTTTATCTTTCCTCCATCCCTCTTTTTCTCCACCCTTTCCCTTCCAGGGTTTCCAGGTCCAAAAGGTTTGCCTGGAGTCATATTTCCAGCTTCACTGCCAAATGGGCCATATCCACAAGGTGATCCAGGTTTCCCTGGTGAAAGAGGAAGCCCTGGTAACCCTGGAGAGCCTGGTCAGTCTGGTTTTCCTGGGCGTAAAGGTGAGTTGAAGGCACAAACAAAGTGTGTATCTGCATCCACTTAACCTGAACAGAGTTACGGGGGCACCATTATAACAGAGACATCCAGACTTCCTTCTCCTCAGTCATTTCTTCCAGCTCTTTTGGGTGAGTCCATCAAGGTTTTCCCAAGCCAGCCAACATACGTAATCTCTCCAGCATGTCCTCAATCTGCCTCAGGGCCCTCACTGAGAACACCTCACCTACGAAGCACCTGGGACGGACCTTAGTCAGATGCCTGAACTACCTCAACTGGCTTCTTTCAATGTCAAGGAGTAATAAGGGACTTCTCCAAGTGTCTTCCAAGTGGCTGAGCTCCTCATCCTGTCTCTAAAGCTGAACCCAACAACTCTTGAGAGAAAGCTCATTTCCACCTCTCGTATCTGCGATCTGATTCTTTCAGTCACTACCCAGAGCTCTTGACCAGGCCTTATTCATGAGTAAGAGTAGGAATGTAGATTGACCAGTAAATCAGCTCTCTCTTTATCATGATGGACCAATGCAGCATTCACATCACTGCAGATGCAGCCTGAATCCATCTGTCAGCCACCTGCTCCTCTCTCCCCTCACTTGTGAACAAGACCCAGAGATATAAGAGGGAAGTTACTTGTCCCCTACCCCAAAGAGGCACTCTACGCTTTTCCAACTGAGGACCATGGCCTTGAACTTTGAGGTGTTAATTCTCATCTCTCCATGTCTCCTTTTGCCATAAACTGCCCCAGGTGGGATTTGAAGGGGACCCGGGGCTCTGCCGAATGTTTCCAGCACACCCTCGCTGTCTGTTTGTGTGTGCCTGTCCTGTCTAAAATTCCAACCTGCCACCTGGTCCAGCTCGTTCTAACGACAGCTCTACTCCTCTCTTCACCCGAGTCTCCAGAACATACAGCGGCATATCTGACATATCTGATTATGCAATTACAAAGTTGATCATTGACCTTCGGCCCAGGAAGTCCCAGTGCCAGGTCCACTAATGGACTCCCATATATTCGAAGATGGCGCTCAGTAAGGGTAAGCTGTCGTTAGAGCAGATGTCCAATGACAGAACACCTTTCGGGTTCAGACAGACTGTTTCTCCCAGTCAGGTCCCCGACCCTGTCGTCCTTTAGAGAAAACTCCCAATGTGCATGTACCCAGCCAAGGGATTGCAAGTATACTCAACAGCTCTCACCAAGGGCAGCTGCAGAGTGGAGCAAAGTACAACAACTCTGCATGAAACTGTTTATGAACCCAACCTGTGCATTGAGGCAAGTTCCACTATATCAAGCCGGTATCTCTTGGCCTTAAGCACTAGCTCAGGCTAGTGACATTTCATGTACCCAAAGTCAGTTTTAGCAACTCGGGATCAGACCACCAACCACAGACTTTCAACCACTGCCTAATCCACTCTGCATCAGACTCCTCCTGCAAGTAATGTGTCCACAGGAAGGGTGGCCTCATGGGCTAAACCCTGACCACCATTCACTTGCTGACAATGTTCTCCTCTAGGCTTGGCTCAAGTATGGGGCCTTTTTAGCTCCAGCCCAGCCAAGGAACAATGATCCAAATGGTTTGCGTGATTCAAACTTAGTTTACCCTTTTCACCCAGAATAAGTTGCTTTGGGAGAACATACCAGAGGTTAATTGCCACCAACAACATAGCTTCTACGACACACAAATCCCTCCATCACAATAAGATAGCATTGGAGGAGCGTTATCCTTCATATCCTGCAGGAAACAGGAGCTGTTTGTTCAGCTTAGGGTAAGCTAGTTTGCTTCCATTCAAATGCAAACAAAGTGAAAGAAGGCAAATGTTTTTAACATAGAGTTTTAAAATCTACTTTCCCCCAACATCAGTATAAATAATATGCAGCTAATCTGGCATGTTTTAATGTACAGAGAGAGAAAAAACAATAATAAAGTGAGAAGATGAAAAATGAATGATAAGCAGTGTAAAATATTCTCCTGCTGCAGGTACTGTGGGGAACCCTGGTCCATCGGGTAGACTGGGCAGGACTGGAGTTCCTGGTTTTCAAGGACCTCTTGGGGATCCCGGACCTCCTGGTTTTCCTGGATCCCCAGGAGCACAAGGTCAGGATTTTTGTTTATCTTGGACTTTTTAATAGCTTATCACTTCTAGCATGTTCTTATTCTTTCCCCCGTCTTCTTCAGGGTTTCCTGGTACAATTGGCCCTCGCGGCATTCCCGGCAGCGTCGGCCGCAGCCACAGCATCGGCTACACTCTGGTTAAGCACAGCCAGAGCACCCAGGTTCCCATGTGTCCTCAAGGCATGGCCAAACTGTGGGAGGGCTACAGTCTGCTGTATGTAGAGGGACAGGAGAAGGCACACAACCAAGACCTCGGTATGAAAACACTGTCAGGCTCTTATGAACCATAAATACTAGTTATAGCAGTCTTTGTGTGGCACAATTAAAGGTTTAAAACCTCCCTTTGTCTCTTCAGGTCAGCCGGGGTCGTGTCTCCCCAGGTTCAACACGATCCCCTTCCTCTACTGCTCGCCCAGCGAGATTTGCTACTACGCTAGCCGCAATGATAAATCCTACTGGCTCTCCACGACCGCATCCATACCCATGATGCCCGTGGAAAAGGAGGAGATAAGACCTTACATCAGCAGGTATTGTACACTGTGTTACTTTAGTCAAGCTGCCTGTCATATACATGTGCATACAATTAATGAAGCTTTCATCTGATTATATGAATAACACAGGTGTTCAGTATGTGAGGCTCCATCTCAGGCAGTGGCGGTCCACAGTCAGGATATGACAATCCCCAACTGTCCTATCGGCTGGAGGAGTCTCTGGATAGGATACTCCTTCCTAATGGTACGTAGTTAATGGCAGCTTCTACCAAACAGATTTAGACCAGCAATTAGATGAAGAGGTTATTTCTCCCCATGGTTCTGCATACTGCCAAATTGTCTTCAGAGATGTCATATTTAAAAAAAATGTCCTTTCATTTCTGACACAGCACACAGCAGCTGGTGCAGAGGGCGGCGGTCAGTCCTTGGTGTCTCCTGGTTCCTGTCTGGAGGACTTCCGGGCGACTCCGTTCATCGAGTGCAACGGCGCCAGGGGCACCTGCCACTACTTTGCCAATAAATACAGCTTCTGGCTGACAACCGTGGATCCAGAAAATGAGTTTACCTTCTCGCCAGCCAAGGAGACGCTGAAGGGAGGCCAGGAGCGCTCCAGAGTCAGCCGCTGCCAAGTGTGCAGCAAGATCTTGTAGTAGGCAAAGGTGAAAGATGGAGGAGTGAGGCGGGGAAACATCAGGAGGGGATTCACTAACATTTCAAGAATTTATGATGGAGGATGAGATGGATTTAAAAAAGAACACGTGACTGACTGAATGGACCTTTCTCCTGTGCTGTGATGGTTTCAGAATCGAGTCGAGCAACATCGGCCCCATTTTGAGAGTTTTTTAATCCCCTGTAGGAATGAACGGCTTTTAAAAAAAGAAGAAGAAGCTGGAGGTAGGAGGAGGAAAGAGAAGAGTCCCAGTGTGAGCGATCTTCTCGAGATTATCACTGATAATGGTGCTATTGTTTATGTATGTGTTTATTACGTGTCAGCTTTCTTGTGACAGATGTCAGCGAGAATCATTCTCGGCTACCTCGGAGAGTGCCCCCACCCCCATTTAGCAAACAACTGCCCCGCACACACGTTAAGCACCCAATTTAAAGGTTATCAGCTCAGGAAGTTGGTCGTTATTGGTTCTTGTCGCTCCCATAGATACTGACAGCAGGCAGAAAGTCTCTACACCAACTCTGACGTCTGACTGTCATATCTATGGGACAGACAAGCCTACAAATGCTTTTCAATGGGCTGATCACGTTCGAAGTGGGTACATAAGAGCTTAATGTGAGATGAGAGTAAAATTACAGATTGCTGGTTGATTTTAAGGTTTTAAAGCGAGTTTGCATTATCTTATTGGGCTGATCTGAGCAAAGCAGATATAAAGCTTCATTGAAATCCCATCTTTGGGAAGATGAAACCTGTTTTCTTCATAAACTTTTTATTCTACGGCAGTTTAGCATCACGAAGGTGCCCACTGTAAACACACTGGGGATTTTTTCATGTGTTGCATCAATACCTGCAGTATATTTGATGTCGGCCACTTCATTATTGGTTTGAAAATCAACTTGCCAAGACATGTGACTTGCTTGAGGTAAAAATGGCGTTGAAGCTATCCTTTGTTTTTAAGTTTTTGTGATATTTGGATTATTTTTTGGTGCCTTACAATCGGACGTGTGAATTAAAGGAGTTTTAGCTTCATGTAAAGATTAAAAAAATCTGTGGAAAACTATAACTCATTAGCAAATTATTTTTTGCATAAACAAAAAAAGACTAGAAGTATTTTTTTTATTGGACTCCAACAAAAAAACATAAACAAAGCAAGTTTCATTTCTTTAAGTGCTGGTTTTCATATAGAAGGTGAGAAGCATCATCTGTTTTGGGGAACAGAAGGAACTTAGAAACAATCTAAAGTATTCCTAAACATGTCAAAGTCCCAGCGTAAGCTTCACGTAAGCCTGTGTACATTTCACAGTGGGACTCTCAGGTTGCTGCTACGTTACCGTTAGTATGACTTTAAAGGTCAAGTCAGATTTTTCTGTGCAACAGCTGAAATGACAATAGAGAGCTGTTGTTATTGCACTGATGTGGACACAGATGGTTCAGAACATCAAAGGGGCATACATATCTCCACCTCCACTCTCACAGGTTTTCTCTATGCTGCGACCAAACAAGTATTTCTTTTGATTATATCACACTTTTTAAGGCTGCCATTCGCTTGCATTTTGCAAAAAGACACAAAACACACGCTCTCTGATAGATGAATTATTGCTGTACATAGTGCTTACTGTATTTTTCAGCAAATCATGTTAGCGCAAAGGTCTATGATGTTGTTACTCGGTTATTTTCTTTTGTTTTTGTGTCCTCGGACAGGTAAGAAGGTGGCAAAAGGACAATTCTGTGCCTTTAAATATAGATTTTGCAAAAACAAATACAAAAAACACACAAAAAATTTGAAATTGTATCTGTTTTTGCATTAAATTTGGTTTTCCTCTGAGTCAAACAGGTTCATCTGTGCTTGGACAGTGGAAGCTACAGCATGACTTGTAACCACTACGACCTCTAGCACGTCTCTCTCTGCTGGTAGCCCTGACTTTAACGCTGTGCCACATAGTACATTTGTGTCTGTATTGCTTTTTTTTGTAATCTAGATTTGTAATTATTGAGTCGTGACACTATCCCCTGGTTTTATTTACTGAGAAGTGAGGGAATGGGAAGGTAATGATGTGTACATTAAATTTTATGGAAAGGAAAACATGCCTGTGTTTTTATATGGGAGCTATATTCACCGCTGATGATTAGGATGCTAACAGCACACTTTATTGCCAGTTTGGCTCTGAACGTGCGGTGAAGTCCAAATGGAGAAACATGCTTTAAGATCCCTGAGTGACAGAAAAGAAATGCAGTTTTCCTCAAAGAGGATCCATAACAAATCAAAAGTGGCAACGCAACATGTCTGTTCCTGTAACGTGTGTTTCTGTGCTCACACACTTTGAAATAAAGTCTCAAAACTACTTAACAAATGCATGTTTTTTGTTTTTAGCTCAACATGAGGAAGTGAAGTGAATTTAAATATAAAATCTGTAAAACCAAATGTTGCTGCCAGTGGTACTGGTTCATTTCACAAAGTGGATGTAATAGAGAAATAGAAGATACAGCCAGACGGTTGAAACATGAGCACATTTGGGTGTTCTGATAGGACAACGACTCCAAACACACATCAAAACTGTTTTTAGAATAGATAAAGCAGGCTGACATTTACAGAAGGGATAGGCCTTTCCAATGGCTCCATGGTCCATCTCAGAAAACCAACAACCTTTAATTAACTCTGCCATGCTGCCAAGAATAGTGGTCAGTCCAGCTGGAAGTATGCGCTTGTTTATTGCTACCAAAAGCATCTTAGCAAAGGACATTAACCCAAAGCTTAGTGGAGGAATCTACTTTTGACCATGTGTGGATTAGAGAAAATCCTAATTAAAATTAAACTTGTGCATCTGAATACCTTTTTTTTTAGTCATTACAGATGTGTGCTTTAATCAATCACTACACCCTGGAAAGAAAACAGTTCAAAGAATTTATTAAAAGGCCAAAGTTACCATGCCATGTGACCATGATGATGTAAGATGCGCGAAAGTGATTAAATAAAAATAATTAAGAACAACTATTACAAAAAGGAAAAGGCCAAAACAATATCAGAAATGAAAATTGCAGAAGAGATAGATCACAAATTCTGTTTCTGCCTCTTAGTTTTTATTCACATTAATAATTTTTATATGTTTCTATTTAAAATTGGAATAATAAAACACAGATAGATAGATAGATAGATAGATAGATAGATAGATAGATAGAACCTTCGCTCCAGTCCAGTAGGTGGCGGTAGTTCACCTTTTCAAAAGAAGAAGAAGAAGCGGAACTCGTAGCACAACAACAACATTGTTAGCAGCATTAGCTCGCAAAAAAGCGAGGAGACTTTTTTCTTCTTATTTGGGTCCCATTAACAGGTGAGTGTAATAACCGAGGGCCGTCAGAGAGTGTGAATGTACAGTCTGTTGCCCTGTGTGCTTGTACGGTCGGAGAATCGCACATTTGTGAGCCGTTTCAGCTATGTGCACAACGTTAGCTCTCAGGCTAACGCTAGCTCCTAACGTTTTATTTAGTGGTTGTGTGCAGAAGTCACTGCATGCAAAGAGTTCTCGTACAGGATGAAGATTAAGGTGTGATGATGAGGATGCAGCGCTGTTGGATTTGTCCTCCCAGGTGAAATAGTTAGTCGACAGCCAGAAAAAATGACTACACATTCATGAAAGCTGATTTCTCGAGAGCTTTTTGTATTCTGCTCGTTGTATCCTGTTAATTACAACGTATACTCGGATACAGGCGTCATTGATACTTGTGGTAACGAGCGGTGTGCACGGATGGGTCCAGATACTCAGAAGGTTAGACGTCAAGATGTTTTGTGTGTCAGGTTTCTTTACTAAAACTCATATTTCTTGAACCCCAGAGGCCTAGAGATACACGCAAGATTTACCACGGTTACACCAGTTGTCTTTTTTTAAGATCTGAGGAGGTTTATTGCATACTGACTTGTCTCGTTATTAAGGGTTCAACCTTCAAATGGTTGGTGAGCTCCACAGTCAACATATCCCAGTTCAACAAGCATCTTTGGGATGTGGTCGAGCGACAGATTCTCATTATGAATGTGCAGCTGACAAATCTGGACTGACACTCAAAGCCATTATACAACACGCCTCATTCATGCAAGCACTTGCTCTATGCTTTGAAATGCTTTCTATCTAACATTCATACACATTCATACTCAAATGGATGCATCGAAGAACAGCTTGGTATCTTGCCCAAGGATACACGCAGACTGGCCAACCTTCCAGTCAGTAGATGATCTAGTCTACCGCCTGAGCAACAGCCACCCCATACAGTGTGATGGGGTTAGGGGTGCTGATCATGCAAATGTGGACCAGAATGGTTCCAGCATCTTGTTAAATCTGTGCCTTTTCTAAGCAGCATTTGTATTTTTCTATTCTTTAACTTACTGCTCTGACTGAGGTCGAGCCCGTTGTCCAAACAATTGTGTTTGACCTGGGCTAAAAGTCGATGTTTGAATCAACTGTTATTACTGTTGACAGAGGCCAAGTGGAGATAATCTTGCATAAGAGCACAAAGGAATTTGTGCTTTGATGGCAGAGTGATAAAGGCAAACATCAGGTATAAATAAACAGTGCTGAGTAACAATAAGTGACCATAGGTGTGTGTGAAGTTGAAATAGTGTGTGTGAGGTCAGGCAGAGTAGAGCCAGTGTGACTCATTCAGGAGGTTGGATTTAAAAAAGAAAAGCAAACACCCACAGTGGTGGGGACCATGATTTGATCTGTTAATACCTGGTTAAAGCATGTGTCTGTAGCTGTAATGCTTAAAAGTATAAAAGGTAAATTAAAAAGTTGGAAGTGAACAGCAACAAGATCCACTGTTGGATTTCTCACCGATTTTTACTCTGGCTGCCATCAGAACTACTTTAACTCTACTTAACATAGAGTCAGCAAGGTGTTAAAAATGTTCAGTTGGTGAGCCAGTGTGAGTTGTACCCTCAGGAGTTGCATCCAATCTGGTCTTCTGCTGCTGTAGCCCATCTGCTTCAAAGGATGATGCTCTTTTGTCTGTCTGTCAAGAATTAGTCGACTCTGCTCATTCAAAAAGGAAAAAAAAGAAGGTAGTCCACTCCATGTTTTGGGAATAACTTGTCCATTCCAGTCTAGTTAATTGGACGAATAATACTCAACTCCGGGTTTTCAATTAATCCATGAAGGGTGAACAAGCAAAGAAGTCAGAAGTAGAGCAGGGCGATATGACCAAAAATATTTATCACATATACATTTGAAAATTTGCGATAACGATATAACTGACGATATAATTGACACTAGACAAAATACTTTACAATAGGGCTGCCACAAACGATTATTTTGATAGTCGACTAGTCACCGATTATTTTTGCGATTAGTCGACTAATCAGATCATCATCCACTGGACGTACAGCGTACAGCTTATTGCACCAGCAGCATCTGGTCTTATATAACTATCATTAGCTTACAGCTTGAAGTGTTTGTGCTAACTAAAAATAAAGACAAGATGGTAGTTTATTAATTTTTAATGAAATTTGCAGATTGTTTCGGTGAAGTTTAATAAACTCCTTGCTTTCTAAAATATAACAGGACACCGGAGTATATTCTCGAGCATCTCACACTTCTGATAATCAGCTGTCTGCTTGACAGTTTTAGCTGTGTAAAAACTATAACTTTAATCTCAGCCAAACCGATTTACTCAGGAACAAATAAAATACTAAAGAAAGCCAAACAATAACATTTTTAAGTTATCTAAGTGACTTATATATATGTTTAACCTGACTAGCGAAAGACGGCGGTGGGTTTGAAAACGATTTGCCGGGAGTCCGGTGTTCTCACGGCTGTAGTTAGCCTTGCCCCCGCCTAGCTAACGAGCTAGTGGGTAACAGACGTCTCCGAAAACGTCGGAGCGCTTTTGAAAATATGCGGTGTCTTGATAAACTGGGCAGATATTTGAGGTTTACACAGCTACATTCTCGCCTGAAAATATGTTAAACGTTTATTTTGTGACCCAGAAAGAATAATAAGAGTAAAGTTAAAACTACTAGCTGCCGCCATTGTTGACAGCTGCGCTATGAATTCTGGGACACAGCTTCTTCTTCTTCGGGGATTAACGGCAGCTGGCATCCTTGTACATGCAGTGCTGCCATCTTCTGTTTCAGTCCGTTATTACACTCTTAAATCCTACTACTCATTCCTGCGTCCTTTGTGATCTTACAAAGCTTCAAACGATGCGTCGACTATTAAATTAGTCGTCGACGATTTTAATAGTCGACATAATCGTGACTAGTCGACTAATCGTGGCAGCCCTACTTTACAACTCCACAACTTTATTAGTGCAAAAAAAACCCATCAATGTATTTTCACTTAAACAAGCAGCTGTTTTTTATGTGCATTAAAGTAATATAAAAACATAACAGTGCAAATTCCTTGCTGACTGTTTAACCAAAAGGCATTTCCAGTGGAAATTGGCCAACATATCCTCAGCATAACCATGGATAATTAGGGCTGGGTATCGTCACTGATTTCTAGAATCGATTCAATTCCGATTCACAAGGTCCCGAATCGATTCGATCCAACATTCGATTCAATTCGATTTGATTCTGGGAAATTTTGACAGTCAGATATATTATAATTCAGATCAGTACATTTACATAGGAAGCTGACACACGCAAGACTTTATCAAAGGTGTGAGCATCACAGCAGATGCCTTTGTGTCAAAGTAGCTGAAGATAAAACACAGAAAAACATGAAGGTGATTTTCCTGGCCTGGATTTTATAAAAATATTCTGCAGTACATCAAAAACAAAAGAAAACCATTAATCAACATATGAACATTACCTCTGAAGTTACAGCGGTTTTATTAGAGGCATGTCTCAGCATTTTGCATAATTTTAAAAAGTTTAAATTTGTTCAGTATTGAACAGCAGAAATGAGGTTTTCTTTTCGGAAGTATATAAAATAAAATAAAAAACCGTCGGCCCACAGCCTGTAAACAACAGTAGACTTGTGCGTAACAAGCAAGCGAATAATGAAGAAAACAGATTTTTAGACGGGAAACTGTTCTTGAAGTACAGAGAGAGAGAGAGAGAGAGCTGTGCATCGTGGTTGAAGCAAAACAGTAAAAGTCAGAGTGAATTCATGACGATGTTTATGTGAAGCGTAGTTTGGATCTTCTTTTGCTGCTGGTTCAGTCAATATTGTTTGGGGAGACATCAAACTAACAGCTTTAGAATCAGCGCATAAAGGGCGTGAACACAAAGCGCCCGCCGACAGATCAGAATCAGCGAGCTGTCGGCTTTCATCCCCGACCGTGAGAAAGGCGACATCTAACTGATTCTGATCCGCGGGTCGCGCTGTGTGTCTTTGTGCAGAATCCGTGTTCCTGCTCTCATTTACTGTCTTAGCTGTTTGGTGGTTGTTGAAATTTTGTGAGATGTCACCAGAGATTCTGGCATTTCGGGCAAAATAAATTTATATTAAAAAATCGATTCAGGATTTTAATGAATCGATTTTATGTTATCCAAGCCAGAATCGATTTTAATCGATGAATCGATTATAAAAACCCACCCCTATGTATAATATCCACAAAACTTAAAAAAGGTTATACACACACAATACGGTAATATTATGTTGAAGCACGTATCACTCCGCGAGGCTCCTGCCTACGATAGCCGTAATGCTCCGACAATCCATCAAGCGGTGCGGCTTCGTATAGCTTAGCAAAGTCGTACTAAAACATTTGACAGATTGTCGAGCGCTGTGTACGACATAAAATCGTTTCGAGGTCAGTAAACACAACCAGAATTCATACATAAGGCACACAGGATCATAAGGGGCTCTGTCGATTTTCAGAAAAATCAAAGGATTGATTTAAGTGTGCCGTATTTTCCAAACAACACGGTAATAACGACGGCCCGCTAGCATGCTCTACCAGAAATAGTGCTTTGTTGTGTATCTGACGGCCGAACGCTAAACCAGTTCCACACCAGTGAAGTTGCATTTTTACAAACCAATTCTGGTTCATCTGTTTCATTCAACGATCCGCTTTCGCTCTTCTCATTCTGCGTCGCCGCCATGTGCGTATGTAAACAAAGGCACTGCGCATGCGCGTTTTACCCAGGTTCTATCGTGATATTTCATTTTCCTATTGTTGCCCAAAATTACACCGGTATTACCGTGAACAGTATGATACAGCCCAGCCCTAGTCAGAAGTTCAACAACAGAAACGATGCAAAGCCAAGTCAACTAGATCATCTAGCTAGTGTACTTACGGTGCTGGAGCAGTGTTGATCGGTCCTAAGGTCACTACATGTGGACTTAGTATGACCTGAGGTCCCAAAATCACCACTTCTTGCTGCTACTTTTTCCAGCCCCCCAGAAAACACACAGTGCCTGGTAGACCCCATGAGAAAGGCTTTAATCTGCACTCCTACTGCGCCAAGTCAGAGTGATCTTACTGACTGACTGTACAAATGAAAACACACAGAAATTCATTACAAAAACCACATTCAAAATAACTAATCTGGCACTCGCAGCAAGGTGTACCTAACAAAGTGGCCAGTGAGTGTAAATAGTTGTTAGACACAGACTTTGACTTGAAATTTAAATAAGTACCCCATAAATACTGCTGGTGTTATACTCCTTGACTTCAATATATCTTAGTTTATTTGAATAATAATTTTTATTTTTATTTTTTTTAAAGAGGAAAGTACACAAATTTGTAATTTTGGACGCTGCTGTTGTTGCTGTTTTCTTTTTTAAAAAACTTCCAGTAAAAACTATGCAGAATAAAACCTTTCATAATTAAAGAAAAAAAAGAAAAAACTTATGAGCTATGTGATTCTTTGTCACTAGGTGGCAGTGCTCGCTGTCTGAAAGTGAGAGAGGGGAAAGAGCTAATGTAAGAAATGAGAAATCACTCAGCAAGTCTCGAGTGCAGGTTTCAGAGATGGTGAAGAGAAAGCAGGAGAGGAGGATTCATCAAAAAGTGTGGTGAAAGATGCAAACACAGAAAACAGGGAGTTTAAATGTGTTTGATAAATGTGCCTTAAGAGTTGGGAGATGGACTCAACCTAATTGATCCCTGACGCTTAATTTCAAAATGCCAGCCGAGTAATCAGGTTCACTTTAAATAACTGTCATGCCAGTTAGACGAGAGAAAGATGAGGTGCAGTGACTTTAACTCTCAGATGAGGCAAGAAGAAAAAAGATGATTTGGATTGTGATGGAAATCCGAGGAGAGGGAGCAGTATTTCCAGTCTGAAACTTGACTTCTTTTCTTTAAAAAAGCAGAGAAATCAGAGAAAGTGAGGAAACAAGTTTAAGAACTGAGCCTCTTTCAACACTTGCTGCTCAATTTACACCACCCTTCTTTCTAACAGGGGAGACAGATGCAGGCAGGTGGAGTGGGGTGGGAGTGCTTCCAGAGGGAGCTCAGTATGCATCTTAGTTCAGCATTTAGAAAACATTTCCACATTTTGCCTCTTTGTTCACCGTCTCAGGTACGCTGGAATTTTCGGACACCCACTCGAACATGTCCTATGTCTTCATCAACGACTCGTCGCAGACCAGCGTGCCTCTGCTGCAGTCGTGCATCGATGGAGACCTACCCTTCGCCAAGAGGCTGCTAGAGACCGGATGCGACCCCAACATCCGTGACAACCGGGGCCGCACCGGCCTCCACCTAGCCGCCGCCAGAGGGAACGTGGAAATATGCCGCCTCTTGCACAAGTTCGGGGCCGATCTGCTGGCGACGGATTATCAGGGGAATACGGCGCTGCACCTGTGCGGCCACGTGGATACGATACAGTTCCTGGTGTCCAACGGGCTGAAGATCGACATCTGGTAAGAATTCAGAGTTCAGGTGATGACAGTGAGCTGTTTCCACCCTGAGCAACTTAATGTTCTCTCATTTTAACTCCACTTTTAATTTCATGTATATCAACTATTCAGAATCATGTAGTCATGCATGATTCATGTTGATATGGTAGAAGCTAAAAGCCATGTGGTGTACTGAGACTGTTTGGCTTGTAATACCCTCTCTAAACAACTTAAATCTGCCCTTTAGAGATTTCTGAATGAATGAAAAAGCACTAAACTCAAATTAAACTGCAATGAGCAAAGCTGCTCTAGAGATGATCTGAATCCACAAAGAACTGACAACAGAAAAGAAGCAAAAAGAAACAAATTTAAAATTGAGCAGACAGCAGTACTCTGAATCTTCAGTCGGAGGTTGGTGTTAATTCTGTCAGAGTATTCATTTAATGTTATTTGGGTTGGTTGTAACTGCTTATTGAGCATCTTAAATATATAAAGTTAGTTGGGGAATTTGAATCAAAGTATCGTAAATTTCATGAATGAAAGAAATATAACTAAAAAATAAGTCTTTTCTATGTAACTGCTGCTAAAATCCCACTGGTGGAATTCACCTTTCACCTCTCAGCAGAGCGAATCTAATGACTTCCTGTCCCCTCGGGGGGAGTGCACTGTTGCTCCCCTCAGAGGAGACGAGAGGAGTATTTGGTTCTGTTTGTTTGCAGTTTTAAGTCCAGGGCCCTATTTCAGGAAGCCGGTTTAGAAAACTCAGAGTGAAAAACGATACTCAGGGTTGAGTAACCCCGAACTGTCCAACTCGGAATATTCGGTTTCAGAAAGGCTGATAACAATTAGTTCAATCAACGCGGAGTTGCTTTAACCCCAAGTTAAGCGCGCGCACGAGGATACATAAAGCCCTGATTAGTGGAGCACAGATTAAGCGAGTCACCATGGAGACGGAGGGAAAGAAGGCGCGGTCAATGTATTTTACAGCGCTTGACGCCGAAATTCTGATGGCAGCATATGCCGATAACATGCAGATCTTGCAGAAAAAAAGTAACACAGCCTCAGCTGCAAAAAAAAGGGAGCATGCATGGCAAAACATAGCCGACAGAGTCAATGCGTGAGTGTTAATTTAAACATTGATCTAGGGATTTCCACCCATTTAACACGTTATTTTATCATATGTTATTTTATTTGTTATTTTATACATTTCATTTTGTGATGTGATGTGAGCGCAGGTGCAACCCAACAGGCCCCAAACGTTCCTGGCAGCAAGTAAAAATGAAATATAAAAATATAGTCCAAACAGGTAAGGTGTAATTGTATTATGAGCCATAGTGCTTGGTCTGTTTGTAAATCAATTGCAGTTAGAGGCTACATTAATTTTCTTTCTGTAAGCACTTATTGAAATTATCTGAGCACATTACAAGTACATATTTGCTTACTCTGTATGCTCAAATGTGGCCCGTTATGGCCACTAGAAAAAAAGCGGAGGCCTGAAAAACAGGTGGGGGTCCTCCACCACCACCACTCACAGAGGCTGAGCAGTTGGCCCTCAGCCAAAACAGTGGGCGCCCTGTGGCTGAAGGCATCTCTGCGGGGACATCCTCTGAGTCAATGACCCCGCAAGACACAAGTGCCTACATAAGAGGTAAATTCAAAATAATACATGATGTGCATACATCCTTTCTTCACAGTCACCTTTGCAGTGCTACTCATTCATTTGATAAACTCTTTACCATAATGGATTATTTTGTAGTGAAGTTATTTTCCTACTGATTTTGCCTTCCCTCAGTCTTGGTTGTCTTTGAGAGCATAATGACAATGAAGTGTAAGCTGAGTGCTATATGTTTGTTAATTGCCATTTGGTCCCTTGTAAGTTATAAGTGACCTGTATAAACCTCATATTCTATCAGTTGATGGTGATGGTGTACTGCATCTGGTGCAGCCTCCTGTTGAGCCAGACCAACATGCAGTTGTGAGTAATACTCCACAGATTATATGAGTTTACAGTAGAACAGCAATGTTGTTTATTTCTTTACTACAGGAAAATAATGAAGAAACATTGACAGCTGTTACAGAGGAGGAAGCAACAGAGACACTTTATGAGGTTTACATCTTTTAATACTTTGTGTACAGGAAATACAGGCGACCAATAAAGCCAGTTGAACAGAAAATCTGTTTATTCTTCTTTCAACATGTTGAGGTGATGGGTCAAAGGAAATGATTGTGACATATGGTGTCTCTGACTGCGCTTCCATCTTGTATGTCCGTGGGAGGGTCAGGATGTTCATGGTTTGGATCACTGCTGATGTTTGGTTCAGAAGGACAGTGTTCTCCTCTAATTGTGGCAATGTTGTGAAGAATCACACATGCCACAATAATGTCACATGCCCTTTCTGGGGTGACCCTGAGTCTTTGCAGGCACTGGAACCGGGCCTTAAGCATTCCGATAGTCATTTCAATTCTGGCTCTTGTCCTGCAATTAGCCAGATTATATCGCTGCTGTGGGCCCGGTTCAGGGTCAGAGTAAGGGGTAAGCAAATAGGGTAAACATGGATACCCCCTATCACCAAGCAAGTAGCCAGTGAACTCTCCTAAGACAGAAGGATACACTTCAGTTCAAATGTCCCTGAAGCAATTGGTCTTTATATATTTTAAAGTATTCTCAACTCACCATGTCCAAATTTTGTGCTCAGTGTACATTCACGGAATATTTGTGAGTCATGGACAGAGCCTGGCCGCTTGGCTTCCACATTTGTGATAATGTTGGCAGCATCACATATGATCTTCACAGTGCAGAGAACACAAATTAGCATCCATTACTATAATGAAATAATCTGTTAGTTTGAAATGCTACAGGGAACTATGTACCTGTACATTAATGCTGTGGAAAGACTTCCTGTTCACATAGTCTCCTTCATTTACTGAAGGAGCAATGATTGGAATGTGAGTGCCATCTGTACAGCCAATCACGCCTGGGAACCGTGAGAATAAATGTAAAATTTAAGTAGTAGTTCAAGTATCACCACATCATGAATTGAGTTTTGTTCATCCTGATACCTGCAATTTTGTGGAATCCCTCTTTGATAAATCTTGTGGGTCTGTGACCGGGGAACACCACAAACGAGTACAGGAGACGTTTCAGTGCAACTGTAACATTCCTGACTGCCCGACAGACGGTAGCCTTGGAAACGTGCTCAGCGTCACCAATATTATACAGAAAGCTCCCGTTTGCAAAAAACCGAAGTGCAATACAAATAATATGTACAGAACTGAGAGGATGTCCGCGATGTGTCACATGAGCAATATTAGGCCTGAGGATGTTATTCACATAAATTATAGATTGTGCTGAGAAACGGTAACGTTCGCACAGACAATCATCAGGAAATGATAAAATGTCCAAACGCGCTCTAATCACTCTCTCCCGGCGGAGAGCTCTGCGGAGAATTTGGGCTTCACGATCTACTGGCTCTTCAAGGAAGGGACACGCCATGTCTGACACTTCCTACAGTCAGGTTTCCGACAAAGGGGCGGAGACAGTCAGGGTTAGTTGTAGTAAACCTGCTAGGGGGCAGGTTAGCTTCACGGAGTGTGTCGTCATGGTGACTCACTCAGGCTTCATCTGAACTCGCTTTGTGAAACCGAAAACCCAGAGTTTTCGTTAACTCAGGGTATACTTAGTCAGAGTTTGCACTAAACCGGCTTCCTGAAATAGGGCCCAGTTTTCAAACTATTGTGTTGAAATCGTGTGTGATGGTAAACACCAATAAGAGTTCGAGCTGATTTCATTTTGAGGGAAGAAGGGTGCGGAAGAGGCAGTATGTGAAATGCACTACACACAGGTACACACACGCACAGGTCTTTGTCTCCAGATGCCACATTTATTTATAGTCTTCTGTGTTATGACCGACCACAGTCTGACAGCTGTCGGTCTCAGCTGATTTCCCGCTCTCCTCCGCTCCTCTCCCGTCTCACTATAAAAGGGAAGGAAACCATCATCAGTCCAAAACGCCATCAGCTGTTTTCACCTGCGTCTCCAGCACCGCCCCTTTGAGCTCACCGCACCACTCCTCCCCTGCAGCCACGCCCGGGACCACACCTCCGCCACACAGTAAAATAAATGAAGGTCTGCGTTCAGCTTTGTGTATAGAACAAAAACCCAGAGTTTTGTTTCTTTGTTGCCCACATTTGATCCTTTTTTATTGTGGTCTTAACAACATCATATGATCCTGTTAGTAAAGCGACGCAATTTAAAAAATATTATAAATATTTTTAGGTGATTAACGAGAGAGGACGGTGACTCAGAGACTTCATGTGTGGCCTAACACCTCGACTCATTGATAGACTCATTTCCTCTTCCTCACACTTGTCATGTCATCCCTGTTTCCTCTGTTACAAGCTGTATATTGCTAACTGTGGTATTATAGCAGCAGATTAATGCTTCTTACTTTGTTGTATATTCATTTTATCTTAATGTGCTTTTGTTAAAGGTTTTCAGTCTTTATTCATACAGATACAGGTATATACATACAGAACGTGTTCTTGCCAATGGGGGAAAACCCTCAGGTTTTACTGATTACATCAAAAAGCTGTCACATTGTGTCACATTAAGACTTTTTCTTTTTCTGGCTTCCTTTGGTAAACATTCTGACTGCAAAACCTCAAGTTCAGGACACATTTGTGGTTCGCGCTGTTGTCTCGATAAGTTTACTTGTGAAACTCAATGTGAAACAAACATTTTAGTACTCAGAGATAACATCACATTAGTTCTTGCCCCAGCATAGAAGTCTCGAGTGACTGCTTGAGGTTTGAGGCTTCACGGGTCACTGAAGCTGAATGACTTGTTTGCTTCACTAAATGCAGTGTGTGTGTGTGTGTGTGTGTGTGTGTGTGTGTGTGTGTGTGTGTGTGTGTGTGTGTGTGAGTCGTCTTTTATCAGTGTTGATGGTGTTTAAACAGGAAATTACTCGCACAATGTAACTGAAGTAGCTTTGAGTGGTTCAAGTCATTCAATAGTAGATTAGCGTTAGTTTAGTGTCATTGAGCCTCTGAATGAGTCCATTGAGATTCAGCTGGCAGACGGCCAGCCTGATATTTATTCTGTCTGATGTACTGATCAGTTGTCTGACAGTTTTGCTGTGAATGCAGTGGAAGTGAGTGTAGAGAGTGGCAGAGACCAGTTTCAGTTACAGCACTCATATTATCGCTGAATGAACCAGTAACCCTTACCAGCAAAGACCCAGATTCAGAGACCTAACTGGGGTGATCCTGACTGTAAAACTGCTGTCATGCCAGCAGTCATTCACAGATCTAATGATTTCTGCTCTTTCTTGTTACAGAGCGCACTAAACATTTTACAGTCGTTTCTAATTCATTGAGCCTTATCCCACACAACTATATTGTAATCCTCTCGGATTAGTCACTGAATAAACATGCTGTGGTAGCACACACGCACATGGCCACTAGAGGGCGTATCTCAGCTATAACTGAGAACCTTCTGGTGGCTTTTTAGGGTTATTTGAGGTGCAGCTGCCATTTTTTTTTTTCACAGATTAATGTGCAGATTATTTCCTTGATTGATGTTCTGTTTTTAATAAGGCATTGCAATACGACTACACTGACAAGAGTGAAAGGATTATTTGCTAATGTGATGGCAAAACTGTCAGCCAAGAAAAGAGAGGAATATTTGCTCATTACTGACTGAGTGATTAAATGTTTCAATTCTAAACTCAGAGAAAATCAGATTATGTAAGAGTGTGTGGGAATTTCCATCTAACCTAATAAAGCATTCACACCTTCCCACTCATCCAAATCCTGCAAACACTTATGTTGCTCGGCACACTTCAGAGTTATGACCAATACTGAGATTACTCAGCAGTTTCTGTTTTAGACAGAGGACTTTAGTTGCAGTATTTAGGAAAGCTTTTCACATTTGACCTCTTTGTTCATTAATGCAGGTACGCTGGATTCTTCTGATACTGACTTAAGAGTGTCCAGCAGGCTGACGGTCAACATCTGGTAAGAAATCTGTCTCTCTTTTGATGAACTGTGTCAGTGAAATTTTATACAAAATCAATCATAAAGGGCGTCAAGCAGGCGTCGTCTTTTTGGCTACTGATTGATTTCTCAGTGATTTAGATTCAGCAGAGGGCGTTATAGCCTGAAGGTTTTATGAGGATATTTCAATAAATTTGTGATATTATTTAAAACAATATAGGAAATAAATACTGAATAAATAGTCAAACAAATGAACAACACACTTCTTTGTTTGAAGTGTGCATTTGTTGGCACTTGGTTCACATTCACTGCCTGCTTGTTTCTCTTTGCTCACGCGCCGTCACAGTCTGGTTGCTCTCAGCGGTGTTTGCACCTCAGGCAGTGAAAACAAGTCTGTTGTCTCCACAGTACTTTCTCTGAAACCCAATAACTGCTGTCTGCCCTTCGTGTTCGCTTTACATTTCACATATAAAGTGGTTATTTTTCTCAGTTTAAACATTCAATATGTTTTTGTGTTTTGAAATCTTGATTTATTAGATTAGCAAAGTTACATCTGAACAAACCACAAGACTTGTGCAACAGTGTCTGTTGGACAGGTGTGGAGACGTATGGTCGTGATGCAGGGGACCATTTGAGGAAAACCAAACACCATATCAGCACAAACACCTACAAACTACAAAACTTCTTGCAGTCATCGACTGATTCATGAACTGCTCTGTATTGCAAACTATTCGAGAGTCAAATGTGAGGTCATCAGTCTGACGCTTAAAGCTTGGCTCAAACTGGCTGCTGCAGAACTTACTTTGTTTTGTGAAGCTCAGTGACTTGTTAAATATAGTGTGTGTTTTCTTTTATCAGTGTTGATGGTGTTTACACAGGGAGTCATTCACATGCTAATTTGTGTAACTGAAGTAACTTTGAGAGTTTGAAGTCATTCATTCAGATATTCAGGCCCATAAAGCACACTCAAATCATGACTCGTGTCTTTAAAACGAGGCTGTTGGTTAATGGTTTTCGTGAGCAGTCACTGCATGTAGAAAAAGTAAAGCTTACTCTGTCAGACTGTATTTTGTAATTTGCCTTGTATGATATTCATAAAGAGCGGCCTAGCTTTGAGTCAACAGTGTCAGCGGTTTTCCCCTGTAGTTTATGCGCTGCCTCAAAATAAATACTTCGTTGTTGTCCAGTTGTCATACAGATTTGTTGTGTAGTGTAAGTGAGGGTAGCAGGTGGGAGAGAAGCAAATGAATGTAAGCAGCTAGCAGAAAGACAGCAGAGGTTAACCTCACTAAAGCACAGAATCTCACACACAGCCTTGTCTGCTGGGTAATAAGTCGGCTTTGACCTCTTTAACTTAAACTAGTTCCATTGTCCCGCGTGTTATCTGAAATGTTCTCGGCTTTCATTAGAAAAGTTTTTCTGTCATTGCTGCATGTCGGCGCTCGCAGTATAATTTCTTGGCAGTATCCCATGGATGCTGAAGAAGTGTGTTTGTCATGTGGGGCTGACGCGGTCCTTGTTTTCCACCCGTCGTCTTCTGTTTCTTGTTTGTTGGTCCTTCTCATGTCACCTTTGATTCCACACTTTTATTACTTGAGCCTCAGTGAGTGTGTCGGGGCAATGATACTCAGCACTCCTGTTATTTCAGCCTCAGAGTTCTCCTTTATTTACAGTCATTTTTATTTGACTCATCAGTTCTGAGTCTAGTCATTATTTACCACAGAGACGATTGTGGTCCATGCTCTCACTTTCTCACTGTTGACAATAGGGCTGCCACGATTTGTCGACTAGTCACGATTACGTCGACTATCAAAATCGTCGACGACTGATTTAATAGTCGACGCGTCGTTTGAAACTTTGTACGATCACAAAAGACGCAGGAATAAGTGGCAGGATTTAAGAGTGTAATAACGGACTGAAACAGAAGATGGCAGCATTGCATGTACAAGGATGTCAGCTACCGTTAAACCCCGAAGAAGAAGAAGAAGAAGAAGCAGCTGTGTCCCAGAATTCATAGCGCGGCCCAGCGCAGTTTCCAACAATGGCGGCAGCTAGTTAGTTTTAATGTTACTCTTATTATTCTTTCTGGGTCACAAAATAAACGTTTAACATATTTTCAGGCGAGAATGTAGCTGTGTAAACCTCAAATATTTGCTCAGTTTATCAGGACACCACATATTTTCAAAAGCGCTCCGACGTTTTCGGAGACATCTGTTACCCACTAGCTCGATAGCGAGCCGGGGGCTAGGCTCACTAGCGCCGTGAGAACACCGGACTCCCCGCAAATTGTTTTCAAACCCACCGCCGTCTTTCGCTACTCAGGTTAAATATATATGAGTCACTTAGATAACTTAAAATGTTGTTGTTTGGCTTTTTTTTTTTAGTATTTTATTTGTTCCTGAGTAAATCAGTTTGTCTGAGATTAAAGTTGTAGTTTTTACACAGCTGAATAAACGTCAAGCAGACAGCTGATTATCAGAAGTGTGAGATGCTCCAGAATATACTCCGGTGTCCTGTTATATTTTAGATAGCAAGGAGTTTATTAATCTTCACCGAAACAATCTGCAAATTTCATTAAAATTCAATAAACTATCATCTTGTCTTTATTTTTAGTTAGCACAGACCTTAAACACTTAAAGCTGTAAGCTAATGATAGTTATATAAGAGCAGATGCTGCTGGTGCAATAAGCTGTAGTTTTACGTCTAATGGATGATGATCTGATTAGTCGACTAATCGCAAAAATAATCAGTGACTAGTCGACTATCAAAATAATCGTTTGTGGCAGCCCTAGTTGACAACACTGTTACTCTTATCGCTGTTATCTTAAATATATTCAGCAGTGCTGTGTCTTTATTACCAAGTGGAACACAAAGCTCTGAAGTAGCTGCAACAGTGAGCTTAGATTGAGCCCCACTCAGCACCATAATTTTAAAATGTAGCACTAGCAGTGAGTCAGACTTTGTCACCAGGCCCCACTGATGTTTGTAGTCCAGAGCAATGTTTGGGTTTTTTCGCACACTTCTGTTCAGGCTCCAGACGTATTTCCTTCCTGGACGCTTCTGGCAGCTGCTGCTTACCCTGCCCCGATTACAACATAATTATCTGTTCCATGTCGTCACCCTCCACTTTTCTTTTCTTTTCAAAGAACTTTATGGACCAACTTTCTCTTAGAAACATACACAAAACTGGGACAAATCTAACTACTATTTCTGATTACTTGCGTATTAATTATCATACTGTTACTTCTGTTATTGATTGCTTATTCTTCTAGAAAAATGTAAAACAACAGCACATCTTAAACTTCCAAGTCAATAAAGATAAATTTGCTTTGCTTTCTGCTTTTTTCCCCAAGCAGAAAAAACAAGTATGTTCTTACAAATGTATAAACATGATGGAGTTTTGATTATAATATGGGCTAGTTTTGTTCACAAGTGTAGGTAAAAGAACTTCAACAAGCTGAACTTGGGGTTTTAAAGTGAGAACACTTTTCTGAATTGTGTGTGGCTGCGATCTACCAGATACCAGAAGCAAAATAAATATTTATTCAGGAATACAAATGTTTTGACGTGACATAAATGTTGGCTGCACTCATTCAGTGAGGATTCGCTTCCTTCCTGATTCCTGCTTCCTGATTGTTGTTCCTTAGTTGAGTTTTGAGAGTTGAGATTCACACGTGTTTGTTTGTTTGTTTGTTGCAGGAGTTTCGCTCTGAATCCTGACCACCTCCTTGTGCTTCTGTGGCTTATGGGGCTATAAATTGGTCACCATGGCGACCAGCTGGATGATTGAAAGTCTCCCGTCTGACTTTCTGAGGTCAGCCGTCACTTTTAGTGTTTATCTCATATTATGTCACATCTAAAATCCTTTGTAAATATTGATGAATGGTGATTAAATTAAACAAATAAAAATGCCTTTTTTTCTTTCTTTCTTTTTTCCAGTGTTCACCATCACTCTGCTCTGCAGCTGGTCTCCTTTTCCACAGTGCAGCGACACAGTGTTGAAGAGGTGAGTGTGTTAGAGGAAATGTTAATGTCAGGTTTAGTCTGTATGCACTCAGAGGTCATTTGCTGCTGCTGCTGCGGTTGTAATGATGTAAACCCTGATTGGTTGGATAGTTTGAGTGACAGCATTTACTGAGGCAAAGCAGAACAGCTGCTGATCCTGAGCTACTCTTACAAATGAAAGATCAGTGAAGAGCTTCCCTCACACAGCATATCCTCTATTGGACCTGACTGAACAGCCAGAGCCTGATGTTCACTACAGTCATGGGCAGAGGAAGCACCAGTGTCAAAAATGAATCACAAAGCTGTTTTTTTTTGTATATTTATATGGGGTCCTTAATGCTGACTGAAAATAGTTTCTGACTTCTTAATGAAAAGTACCTTAAATACTCCTTTTTTTTTAATGAACAGAAAATGTGCTTTTAAATATATAACAGGGAGGGTTTTATGGAAATAAAGTAGCTGTATTATTTAGCTGTATCTGAAATCCTTATCAGGTGATTAATTGAATTCACCCTGTTTTGGTGAACTTTGTGTAGATTCACACTTTTATTTAAAGCCAATAAATGTCTTGCCTTTTAATTTGACTTTGTCTGCCTCTGTGTCCTGCATTTGGTTGCGCTGTCATGAAAGTGTTGGTCATTTTACAACATGAGCATTATTTTGTCTTCCCTGAAGGCATATTCAGGAAATGAGGATTAAAACGAGCGTGTCTGTTCATTTCCTTTTGATTCATGAACAGCCTGGATCAGGTCCAGACACTTTTTCCCAGTGTGTAACAGCCTCGGTGTTTCCTGAACCATTTGCCTCCAATAACCTTTGTCTTTGCTGGGCTACACTGGGAAACTGTCCACAGAGGCATTCAAAGGGAAAAAGAATCATTCTTGTGTGTGTCCCTAATTTCTACAGTTTAGACAATTTAATCAGTTTGTCAGCAAATAAAACCTCTTATATCCATCAGAGATGCTGGCTGTAAC